CGAACACCCGAACACACGAAGACACGCGAAGACACGAAGACACGCGAAGACACATGTACAAGCTCCTGCCACCGGACCACCGTTCCGACGATGCCTTTTCGGCAAAGGCGGCAAAGGCAAAGGCGGCAAAGACAAGGGCAAGGGCAAGAGCAAGAGCATCCCCGTGTGGAAGCCGATGTTCGAGAGCCTCGGCTTGGCTCAGACAGAGTGTATATGGAAAAAGGATGGAAAAAAAGAAAGAACGTTGAAGAACTGGGAGAAATGAACAGCCAGGATGGAACATGAACAGTTGTCCATGTATGTCCCTGTAATTGTTGTTGTTGTTGTCGTCATTGCCTTTTTTCCTTCTATACCAAGCATGACCTGTTTTTTTTTTCCCTCGGTGCGTACCCGGGCCACGAGCTGTGTTCCCTTGTTCGAGGCGCTTTTGATGACATCCCTTCTTGCTGCGGCTTGAACGATCGGGACATATCGGGACCCTGTGGTTCTTCAAACCACCGACCACTGGCCTGACCACCTCTTGCGTTGAAGGACCACTGGCCTGAAAGTTCTCAAGAAAGATCGTTGACGGACCAGTTGTTGCTTCTTTTCACGCTTGGGAGGATGAGCCTTGCAACTCTTGTGTACTCCATATCCTGAAGGATCCTGAAGGGGTGGACTACTCACCAGTGGTTAAACATCAGGTATGTCACAGTCCACGTGGTCACAGCCCTGTGCCTCGTCTTCCAGGTTTCGTCCGCCATCCCGTGCCGCACGTCCTCTCGTCGACGGAGTGTCTTCAGGAAGACGCCGATGGCCTGGGAGAAAGGCGGCAAGAGCAAGGGCAAAGGCTGTGAGATGCTGTGAGCAAGGGAGAATTCGTTGAACTCTTGACGCGTAGAGCGTCCAAAATCGAAGGGAGCGCTGAAACTCACTGAGAACTAAATGACCCAAGTCAGCCCTTGCATGTTTGTCCATCATTTTGACCACAAAGGCATGACATGTCCGTATACCAGCTTTAATCCTTCACCCAGCTGGAGGCAAGAGCAAAGGCAAAGGGAAGATGAATGGCGAAATCCAAAAGCTCCGCGCCATCGACAATTCCATGAAGGCACCGTTCCGCGGGAGCAGGGTTTCTCAGGCTCAATGCATATGACATGCGCGGTTTTTGGAACACACGTGACATCTATTGACATCTCAAACGTATCATATCACTCTCTTGCGTGCCTGGCATGCCTTTAACATCTCTTTCACCCCGTTTTCAGGTCCTTCCCCAAGAACTTCCTTTTCTTTCCATCTGTCAACGGTCCCTGTTCCGGGTGACCCCCGAACCGGAGACCGGGTGCGCCGCAGACGACGGTGACGTGTCGTCCCTCGGTCAGGTCTGGATCGGCGGTCTGGATGAGTCCGTCTCCTGGAAGATGTTGCAGGCGCCGCGTCCGCGAGTCGGTTCGAGGTGAGACGATGGGAAGCCGATCAAAAGGTACCTGAGGTACCTGGACCTTCGGGTGCCCTGTCTGGAGATCCCGTAGTGTAGTGGGCTGGGGCTTCCATTGGTGACCCCGAACTGAAGGTGCTGGTATGGGTTGGTTTAGAAATGACCATTGATGAAGAAGCACCTTGGATTTGGATTGAACCTTCACGTGGCGGGTGTGATGAAATCAAGAGTCTACCGGGGAAGCTTCCGGGAGTTTCCGAAAGGTGCATGTGGATCATGGGCAGAACCGTGCTGTGGTGCTTCTGATTGAAGACGGATTTCAAGGTGGCCTAGAAGAAACATCCACCTGGATGACACCCGTTCCACAGCATCTCGTTCTTCGTTCCTGGGTTACACAATGACTGACTCCGTGTGGCCAGAGCTCTCACTGCCGATACGACAGGGACACAGTGGACTCTCGAGATCCTTGGAAATGACACAAGGTCGGTGTTGCCGAAAAGAGTCCAGAACTAATCTGAGCAGCGTTCCGTTCTTGACGTTCCACTCTTTTTTTTTCCGTTTCACAGAGTTCCGTTTCTCCCCGGTTTGATGTTCGTTTCCACGGTTTGATGAACGGAATCGGTAGAGCTCACATCTTTCCCAAAATGACAGGTTCCCAAAAGGAGCATCAGAACCACCAACCCGATCCGACCCCGCCATCTTCTTCACGTTCTTCACGCCACGCCATGGAGGCGCACTTCGAACAGGTGGGCACAGTGACGTGGGCCACGGTCTTCCCCAAGGCACAACTCGCATGTTTCGGCAGGGACTGAATGGAATGGAATGTGAAAGTAACTAAGCCGAATCAGCACTTGCAAGGGGCCAGGGATATGCGAGAATAGATATCAAGCTCAGTCTGTTGTTGTTTTTCTTGGATGGGCGAGCTTGTTATGCAGAGCGACGATTTTGGTTGTATTGGTTGTGCCTCACTGATTGACCAAACTTTCAATTAAACAGAACATAACAGAACAGTGAAGCTTCGAATGATCTATACAACCACCCAACAGTCATGCTTTATGTTTGCAGATTCTAACGGCATCTTGGATCTTTCCAACGATTCCACCCTACGTAATCACTGCCGGCAGTTCGTGGGACAGTACTCAATCCATTGCCAACAATGACCACAACCAACTAGGCAACTAGGCTGCTGGCTGCTGGCATGAGCACCTTCGCACATCATACCTGACATTTCCATACCGACGAATGTGGCTGAAACGATCATCCCCGAAACCCGAAACTGCTATCATTTACTATCTAGTTGCTTCTATACTAGTACTATTCATGATTCATAATCCTATATAGGTCAATTATACATCTATAGATTCTTATCTTATCAAAAACAGTGTTATCAAATCGACTTCCACTTGCCAACCGATGTTGCCCGCCGGTTTGGTGCACTCCTTCCAACCGAACCAATTCCTCGTTTCGTCCGGTGGTGTTGCTTCCCCAGGGCACCGGCTGCGTGGCCTTCGGAAGTGCCGAGGAGGCCACGTTAGCACTGGAACTCAATGGCAGTTCCCTGGGTGCCTTGGCGGGTGGCTGGATCCGAGCGGCGGACGGCGCGCGCGCGGGGAAGAGTTTTGGAAAAGCTTTGGTTTTGGAAAAGCTTTGACCTTGTCCTTCATAGCCTCTAAAAGGGATGTGAGCCGCGATGACATGGAAGACTGGTGGCTTTCAAGACCGTTGTCCTCAAAAGAACTTTCCTTGTACCATCATGAAGGGTAACACAAAGCAAATCACATGTGGCTGGTTCGGGAGTGGGATGCTTGGATGAATAAGAGAGAGATCTAGAAACTCCCCCGGGTCCCCTCGTGACAATGATTTCGGAAAGCTTCATTCATTCGACCTGTCCCGGAATCCACGGAAACGGAAGGGTCCCTTTTCTGGCAGCGGAAACAGAAGATTTGGAAGCTTCCGTTGCCTGGGGGGTTCTACACCTCCGAATGAATCATGGAAGTGGATCTCCGTAAGGATGATCGAATACCAAACAGGTGGTGCCATCCACTTCCATGACTTTTTCAGGGAGTGTAATATACGTAGAACCAACACATTCTTAGAGAGGATGCGTGGTCCCTTGTCCATGCTTGTCCACCACAACCCGCAGTGTCATTCCCTCCCGCGTCACTCCGCCACGGCTCCTCTCGGCTCGCGCAGTGGGCGAAATCCCTCGCCGAACCGAACTGAACCCAACCCTGTCCTTCTCCGCAACCGGCGAGTCCTCGCTCGCCGGCTCCGGGTGTCCGACGGGTGGGGCGGCTGCCGCATGGTCGCGCGGGCCTGATGCTGTCGGACCTCGCGGTGGGGGTGCCGCGGGGACCACCCCCGCAAGCTGTGCTGGAGAAGAGGTCCGAGGGTTGGGGTCTGAGTGTCTCACATCGTGGAGTTTTTTTTTTTTTCGTGTTCGCAGTTTTCCAGGACAGGGAAGACTGTGGTCCTGGCTTTTGTTTTCGTTTCGGAGGGGAGTTCAAAGACATTTGAAAAGTCTTCACCTCCAGCGCTGGCTTCGGAGTTCCTCTTTTCGGTAAATTTCGGTAATCGACTGGGCCAGGCCATGGTGGAAGCTGCTGCTTTTCTTTCTGTTTCTCAGCCAACTCGGTCATCTGCACCTTCCAACACCCCAAATCCCATCAAAGCTGACCAAGAACGGCCGCCAAATGAGGAGAATTGTTGGAAGGTGCAGTTCGACCGTCGCTATAGCAGATTTCTCTGTATAAGTTTCTCAGGAAATATGCCCCTGTTTTGCCAACATGTTCTGTTTGCACCGTTTCATGTGCCATGAAACACCCAGAAACTCAGCCCCCCCCAAAGCCCTACCCAACCATCTCTCGCCTTTTTCTCCCAGGACTATCACTTCGATAGTCCAGTTCACCACTTTGGACCTGGTGGGCGGGATGCTCACCACTCTCATGCTGTTCTTAGCCTGTATGATGTTGACAGATGGCATGGCCGAGTTACATCGACGCCTTGTTTTGGTCACGCGGGAGTCCGGGAGGGACGGTGATGAAAAAAAAATTGACAACGACATCGCCCGTAATTATGGCCTTGTAGGAAAGAGACCCACCCACCATTCACAGCTTTGTTCACGTTTCCAATCAGCTTCTTAAAATTGATGTTGGCGACAGACCTGGGGCCTTGGCAATCTCAGAGTGAATGGGGACTCAGGCAGCGCTCAGAAAGCACTCAGTACTGTGGTTCCCAAGTTTCAACACCCACACATTCCTGATCATTGACCATGCTGCACCCGGGTCTTGACTTAATTTCTGCAGCAGCTCAACATCTCCAATGGCCCCCCAAATCTCCAGGTATCCAGCACATGAAGATGATCCAGGTGTGATATCCCCTGATCGCCAGCGGACCGCCCTAGAGTGATCCGAAAACCTGTCAACCCCCCACTTGCATCCACTTGCCATGTTTCAAAAGAAGTTTCGCCTGCCATCCCACCCATCCCGCGCTGCGGGCACCCGGATGGGGCACGTTACGATCATCACGGCCTCACTTAGGATATGCCTTGGCCTTCTCGATGCTTTCCATGCTGTGCCTCTTTTTTGACGTCGTCCCACTCTTGTCGAGCATCGGTGGGCGCTCAGAGGTCTCGGTCGAGCCAGTGGACCGAAGGAGTATGGATGACGAGCTGAGGATTACGTACACGACGATTATCAAGACCTCACCCTTTTTCGATCACACCAAGAGTTGCCTGGCTGAAAAGGTGCAGAATGAAGCAGAATTCGAATCATTCATATCATACATGCATGTCGAAACTTCTAATACACTTGAACCGTTGGGCTGGATATGATTCAACATCTCATTGGATTTGGAGTACAGCCGAATCATGAATGCAGGCGACGCTGGGTATCTTAGAGAAATATATCGAACTTATTTGTTGCCAAAGGAGTGTCCGGTGCAACATATGCTACCCCCCCAAGACCTACCTGTTTTTGGGGCTTGCAAGGCATATTGTGAAGCAGTTCGTGTCTCTTGCAGAAGCACCTGTCAGACAACATGTTTATGACCGCAGATATGAGTCTATTTGACTCGCATGTGCGGACTTCATAAGCTTGGTGAAGCAAAGACATGCGCCCGCATGAGTATGTCCGAAAACGGGAGTGAGATTTCAACCACAGGTCGTTCGCTCCAAGTGAAGCCCGGTTTGAAGCCTGCAAAGAACCATTCCACACTTGGAACACCTGGCAGTGTTTCTGGGTCAGAAACATTCTACTTCATCTAAACGGTGCCCCAGTGTTGCTGGGAGACATCGCATCCTCCCAAGCGTCATCTTGCGGAACCCCCCAATGGCGCCACGCAACGATCCGGGTCCGCGGCAGGTTATGTCTACAATGCCGGAAGCGTTGCGATGATTTTGTTCCCTTGGATGGCAAAGACGAGCGACCAGAAGTTCCATGATAGGGTGTTCAGTCTGTTCGATGTGACAAAGGGCACTGCTATCCTCCAATGTTCTTCACCCAACTGCATGGAACTGCTGGCAAGTGACGTTTTCTTCTTTTTTTTGAACAAAACAATCGTTTCTGTCGAACAAACTCATGCCTTGCCCTCCGGTCCCGAACGGAGAACATGATGATCCGTGAGGTCTCCCCTGACCATGCTGTTGGGTGCCTACCTGGCGGGAGAGGCGCATGTGGAGCTCCAAGCCGAGCCCAGCGAGCCGTCGCCCAACTTGACCTTCGAGACGACCCGGAATCCCAGCAACACACGTCCCTCCGTCAGCAGACGTCAGATCCCGTGCGGGAATGAGCTAAGCTAAAGCCAAGAGAGACCGTGCGAAGAAGGAACGCGAACAACGAATGCGAAGAACGAACGCGGGAGCGGGGGCGAGGGCGAGGGCTTGTGGACGATCGTGGAGGGTTTTTTTCGTGGGGCTCTTTTGGTTTTCGGGGCAGAGGAGCCGTGTTTCTCCACCATGTCGGACTGGTCGGCCGCTGTGGGCTCTCGTCTCTCTACGTTACGGGGGTAGCAGACAGAGGAGGAGGACTGGGTAGACAATGAGGACAGGTACCGGATGTGCCGTCCGGTCCCGTTCGGGTCGCGTCCGAGCCCGTTGTGAGCCGTCAGGCACCTTTGGGCGGATTCGCTTTCAGAACCTGGGACCCATCCCCCCGGGAGATGGAACTGGCCCAAGGGGCTCCGACTTCAGTGGTCGGAGCCACCGTTTGGAAGATGATTGATGAAACCTTGTGAGGGAAACAGGGGTGGCCGGCGCCATCGACGAAAAAGGACCAGAGGCATGTGCTCTCAACTGGAGAGGCATGTTAAAGCATCCCGGTCACCCTGATGACTCTCAAGTCACCAAATGGCGACTGACACGCCGGCGCGATGTCGACAGTGAGAGGCGTGTGTGAGAAGAAAAGACGCCTCTCACTGGAAGTGTCGTGCGTCTCACCCATCGCCGGCGTCTGCGCTTCTCCCAGTTGGAAGGTGCGTCTTTCCTGTCGCCTGTTCAGACTGAAATCGGCGAGATCCGGCGTAGAAAGATCGGCGAGATCGGGCGTGAGTGGATGACGGACCGGACCGGGGTGAAGACGCCGAGAACGAGACGCGTTCTGCACACGAGAGTCGAAGGAGGGTCGAAGGAGTGTGAAGCTTCGGGGGTCACAGGGAGTGACACTTGGACACTAGGAAGCTGGTGTTTAGCTGGTATTTAGCTGGAAATCCGTTGCCATGTTGTTCGTCTCTTGTTTCCTCTCTCAAGTTCATAGTTCCTCGAATCGGTAGTTCCTCGAATCGGGCCACATGATGAAAAGAAAACCAGATTTCACGAGAGCGAAGAATGACACAGTTGTAGGCTGAAAACCATTCTGGACATCTTGGCCAGTGACTGATTTTTTAAAGAACTATCAGGATGAGGTAGGACATTCAAGGAATCCATGCAGAAACTTCTTGCTGGACCCAGCCCACTGGATCTGAATCGGACGACTGTTTGTGACTCACAGAGCTCTAAGGTTCGTGCGTCCTGGTGGTGGATGTCTTTGAGAGCCCAAAGAGGTAGAGTGACTGGAAGGTGGGAGAGTTTCTTTCGAACTCTTCAGCGGAAGAGAGACTTTGGAGAATTTGGAAGGTGGGTCCTTGTACCAAGTTTGGTTTTCTTGTGGTAATCCGTTGTATTGTAGTTCAAATTCCTGAACAGAAGTTCAGTAGCTGTTTCACCGCCCCAATATGTTGTAATTATCAGGCGTGCGCAAAGGGAACTTGAGTGTTTTCTTTCCCTATATAGCTGCTTGGTGATTTCTTTTCAGTTGCATTGTCAAGAGGAAGCTGATGTGGTCGGATGTCGGTGAGATGCTTGCAGTAGGAACAGAAACGACGTCCACTTCAGACCAACACGAAAAACGGTGCTTGTTCTTTGATGTTTCCCAGTGTGCCGTGTGCGAGGATCTTGTAGAACATGTAGCAGAACCTGCAGCATTACCCCTCTACGAACGCCTGCAGGGTGTTTGTTGTGTTATGTGGCGTGACCTCTAATCGACAGGCTTCGCTAGGGAGCCCGTTGACCCCAACAGGAGCAATACCTTCACCGCACGCACAGGACTGGACTGTCGCTGGTTTGTCTTCGGCGACCGAGTGAGTGCGGTCTGTGTGCGACTGGGTCGTTGGTCTCGAAAGGCTATGAAGTGAAAACTCCTTAAGCACCCCCTTGATCCAAGTGAAACCATCAACTTTGGGGAGCTTGAGTGCAAGGTGGTGGCCCTGGTCACGACTGGGGTTTCCACGGATGGAACAGTCCCCTGAAGTAGCCGAAAGCATGCCCCACTAGAATTAAACATAGTATGATATGATATGATATGATATGATATATGTATATTCTATATAGAGACGGTTTGTTTGTATGGATTTTTTTGGGGCAACTATTGCTATCTGGTCACTCCTTGCGAACCATTCTCCCACTTTTGTCAATGCTTCAAATGTTTGAGGGAAGCAGCTGTCCTCTCTTTCATAGTGACATTGTGTCAGTCATTAGAACAACATACAATCATAGAAGGCTTATTGTTTGGATCTAGACTTGTTTTTATAGATCTAGACTGACATATAAGTATATTTGATACGGCGGATACGGAGCACCCTCTTCGCTTGAATCCGGCACTGCGCCCAAACGGTCCGTTTTGGCCCCTGTTCTCTCCGAACCGGTCGCCGCCAGCTTGCAAATGTCGCAGGCCACAGCAACGCTTGTTGGCCAGAGTTCCATAGGTGAATTATGGGTAAGATGTAGTGGAGCGTGCCAGCCAAAAGAAGAAAAAGGTTGGAGCTGAATTTGCCAGGGGTTTGATTGCATCAAGCTGGCCAAAGACGTACCTCCACCTCCGCGAAGGACCCACGCTAGGACTTCCGGGAGGGTTATGTAGATGGCTTACGGGTCCGGGTGGCCAGCGGTAACCTACAGTTGGGTGGTTTTGATGTAGGGCTAACGGAGGACGCGGAACACTTGGTTAGGGATTAGAGCCGGGGCAGTCCTCCCTTCGGGGGGGGGGGCTGCACTCTATACCCCTTCAAGTGTCAGACACCCTGCTGTAGCCAGCGTGGACCAGCGCGAATTCGTGCGTAGACCCATGACCTGAAGAAACGACACAGCCACAGGGCACAGATTTGGATGTCCTTTGTGATAATTAGGAGCTTTGCGATATATTTTCTATCTTTGTTTACGCTAGAAAGCATGACATGGGAGCAACTCCAGCGGGAAAAGAGCATGCTCTACAGATCGTAAGCCCCTGGGCAGTCCCCTCTGCAGTCCCACATCATCCAGTTGTCCGAGGAGATCAACTTATCTCAACCACGCAACCTCTGCTCAACGGGTTCACCGCGTTCGGAAAGAAACACCACGGGGTCACCCAGTCGTTTTTCAATGTTTTTCACCGGTGCAACCCGGCCAGGAAAGCCGGCCCCAGTTCGCCCCAAAACACTCGGTTTGGGTTGATTGAGGAGAAAAAAGGGGGGAGACCGCAGCTGGTCAGATCTTGTATCTGATCCGCACCAGCCCGACACCCGGCGCGCGCGCAGTTCGCCAGCCACGGGTGTACCTGATCCACGGCGTGGGACCGTCCAGTGGATCCGGTCAGGTGCGTCGCCTGCGTTTCGACCCCGGGGCCTTCGAGCCCTTGCTGGAGCCGCTCGGCGGTCCCGGTGGTTTGGGGCGGAAAGGAAGACCAGGCAGGCACTCGGCTGTGTCAATAGATCTCCAAAGAGATGCTGGTGCAACTGGTGCATGTGGTGCGTGTGCTGCTTCCTTTTGATTTTCATCTTTTGCAGCACATGATTGATCATGATCGGGTTGCTTTAGTCTTCCCAGCCTGGCGGCGATTGGTGAGCTGTCCATGGTTGGGTGCCGTTTCTTCAGTGCCTGTCGATAGATCGCCGATCGCTTCTCGCTCTCCGAGAGGGCCACGGAGATGTATCACTATGCAAACTCTGGAAGAAGCACGAGCAAACCAACAGCGGCCCTTTGCTTAAGGCGGCCCTTTGGTCAGGGCAGCCAGGGCCGGGCGGAAGGTCCGAAGGTTGAAACTGCTTTGGTTCTAGATGATCGTCATCAGGTCCAGAAACTGAAGTGATCAGATTCCCTAGCTCTCTGAATCATGCGATCCCTTCATCCATTCAAAGCATCTCCTTGCGTACGCGTCCCATCTTTTTCACGTCCCTCGTCCCACCCAGACCTCCAGGTCCACGTCCCTCGTCTCCGTTGACGTCCGACGTCTCGTATCGAGGTACATCCTGGAGTATGATGGAGTGCTCGAGTGCCACGTTGAGGCGTTCAAGACGCCGGCTTCGAAGCGTGGCACGTGACACGTGACACGTGACACGAGACACGTGACACGCGGGGGGCGGGGAATGGAGCGGATCCTCCGGGACACATGGACGAGTTGGTATAGACTCTTGAGACTCTTATCACCCCTCTGTTTGGATGGCAACACAACCTTCAGATGGGGAGTTGAGATTATCATCAATGAGTCATACATTTAACACCACATGGACATATACCGTATGCATACCGTATGCAGTGCAGGTGTTTTTTTGCTCCGCTTTCGCATGGATCCAACTGGCCGCGCCCGCAGGGCCAGAAGCCCAGCGAGGCCCCGAAGCAGTGACCCGGCCCGAAGCAGTATGACCGTGGATCGTCCGGCGGACCGGGTGGTGAGGCTGAATGAGCCGTCGTTTGTTTAAACAGAGAAAGTAGGCCAGCGAAGCTGTCAGTATTATAAATGAAACGCCAGCTTTTTGATGGTCGATGCTATTGTACATATATTATATATTTTTATATGTTGCTTGGATCTTCTTCCCATCACATGGTTTCCTCCTCGTCCGGTTAACGGGTCCGCGTTGGTTTCGTGGAGCCGCTGGTTCGGTGACCTCGGACCTTCCGAGGTTCTTGGTCATCGAGAACCCTGGAGTTCGGCGCCCGAGCGGGGCGAGGCGACCGTCTCGGACCTTAGGAGGCGACCGTCTCGGACGTTTTGGGGATGGGATTAGGGTGGATTGTAAGGGAGAGGGCTGAAAAACCCTGCTTTAAACATAGATCATATCATAGATCTTTGGAAAAACAACATATCGATCCATCCCTATGTTCCATGGTCCATCCCTATAGATCGTTTAACTCATACTGTTCCGGATGTTCTCCTTTTTGAACTGGAGCTGGGCACGCCTTGGCGTGGACGGGATCCAGCCATCGGTCTGAGCTCCGTGTCCCCGTCTCGAGCGGTGGTCGGCGGTGGGCGCACCTCTGAGGTGCGAGACCTGTGTGGCAGCACCTTTCGTCGGTGCGACGCTGACGGGACCGCTGGGTGGGCGGACGGCACCGGTGGTTGAATCGGCCGAGTCATCCTCTTCGACGTCCAATCCCTTGGTTCGGAGAGAGGGATATGTCATACCACCAAGTCATGGTTGATTGATGGATGGAGGGTTGCTATCGGTGTGTCCGAATCTTCAATCTCTTTCAGTGATTAGCGTTGATTCATGGACGTTCATTCTTCATCTTCAAGCATTTTGCCTTTTGAAACGTCCACTTAGTACAGGATCAGCTGTTCCACTGTCATGCATTCGCAGGTTTGAGATCTTTGGGTTAGGATGCTCCCAGGGCTACAGTTGGTGTGGATGTGTCACCGGCCCTGTTTGTCCAGAATGCCGTGCTCTCCAAAGTAAGTGAGCTCAGAGATGTGTTCAATCATGTTCAAGCTCTCATGGGTCAGTAGTACAAGAACATAAAATGATCAGGTTTGTCCTTTTGCACTACTTCTGTAAGGAGGCATGCTCGACATCCAGACATCAAGATTGAGATTGCCGGTCTGGGCGACGTTGTCATGCATGTGAATAGGCTCAGGCAGCAGCCATTTCCAAGGCTCAGGTGACAAAGAATGGGTTCCACACATCTATGTGTGATCATGTGGGATTGATTCCCATTTGTTCCCATCAGAACGAAGCGAGTCCAGTTCCAATCCTTGCGAACGAAGCCAGCTTGGTGATCCCAATCGTCGACCCTAGGGCGCCAAAAACCGAGCTTCTCATGGGCGCCAGGGGTGCTGAAGTCCGGTTCCGCCATCATCCCCAACAGAGACGTGAAGTTGGCGAACCTGTCACAGACCATTTATAGACTGGATATTATCAGTACACAGAAGAACAACGGATGCTTTCCCCATCAAGCACATTGAAATACAAAGTCCTCACTATATATACTAGTACCTCACCTCCCAACTTTTTCCAAACAGTCTGGGCATCGTGTCCCTTCATCCGCGCCTGGGCGCCCCTCATCGCGCGGTCGTTCACGACCGTGGCATCCACGTCGCCATGATGGGGCTGATGAGCTCGCAGGTCTGGGTGTGCCTTGTGCCGCGCCAGACTCCTGGAAACCACGTGTTCTTCCAGTCAGGTGACCACATCGCATCATCTAAAACAAAAGAACACATTGTAAAAAACAAGCTAAAACACCCTGGAAAAAAGCACACGCACACACACTTATGGATATGCGTACTGACTTGACAGCGGTGCCACACGCCGGCCTAAGAAACCCAAATCCTGAAAAGTCCAGGACAATCCTAAAAGGCCGGGGGGTCTTCAAAAGGAAGTGAGGCCCAAAGCGCAAGCATCGAAACGACGAAGTCGGAACGACAAGATGACGGCGGTCCGTGCACATCTGCAGAACTCATTAGCCCTTTACGAGAAGATTGGAGTGAAAGCTTGTCAACGCCACAACCAAGCAGGTACGTGGATTCTGCGTCCAGAATCCATATCAGTGACTTGTAACAGCCTCTTCGTTGGACTGCCACTGGTACAAGCCAGGCAATCCCCCTGCTGAAGAAAACAAAAAGCAATTCAAAAGAATCCCAGTGACTACAAGGGGCACACACACACACGCCTCCCCGAAGAGAGGCGCAAAGCTAAGGTGAGGGCCAATGTGCACGTGTGCGCGCACAAGATACAAAAGAATGAAGACATGCCAGGAGGATGAGACGGGACAAAGGTGCGTGTGGTTGAAATGAAAGGGGAGCCAAGTGCGCAGGGACACCCGATGAAGCCCACCTCATTGTAAAGACCTGGGCGACCTGAAACCTGTGTTTAAAGGTATGTAGAAGTGCACGTACACACTAAGGCCGGGACCAATGTGCGCGCGAACGAAGAAAAGGATGAGATGACCAGACATGAAGACAGGAGGACATGAAAGAAAAGAGGGAACAAAAGTGTGTGAAGGGATGAAAGGGGAACCAAATGGAGGGGACGAGAACCGATGAAACCAGACCTCATTCGAAGCGCCTAGGAACCTGCCTCGTTTGAATGTAAGCGCTGTGTGTGCACCTGAGAGTGGGACAGGTTCCAACGAACCTCAAAAGTACTTTGGTCGCTCTGACCACGTTGAGGCGTTAAGCCAGCTTAGACCGCTGCGGTCACGTAAAGGCATGAGCCAACTTGGAATTCAATAATCCGTCAAGTCTTGGCAAATAACTTTGGCATAAGCCTCCTACGCCCGCTCTGAGCACGTGCGTTTCCGCGGCATTGGAAACAGAGACAGACACCCGTTCGACGGGTCCACGGGAGGCACTCTACGGGCTCATCCCGGACTCTCACTAGGAGAGACACACTTATGGATATGCGTACTGACGTGACAGCGGTGCCACACGCCGGCCTAAGAAACCCAAATCCTGAAAAGTCCAGGACAATCCTAAAGGCCTGGGGGTCTTCAAAAGGAAGTGAGGCCCAAAGCGCAAGCATCGAAGCGACGAAGTCGGAACGACAAGATGACGGCGGTCCGTGCACATCTGCAGAACTCAACCCAAATTTAAACATGTTATTTTGGCAGAATGCAGAATCCAAATGCCGATACACGGGTGAACGTGGGTTTTGGCCAGCGATACCTGACCCACACTTCGGACCTTTCCTCGGAAGCTAGCTTGGTGGACTCTCATTTTTTCTCCTTTGCTGTGGAAACGTGAGAACAGGCAAAAGAGGGAGTTATAAGAAGGCTTGGCTTAAAACTGTAACCAAAGACCTCCAATGGAAACACTCAGAACTCCGATCTAATCGGCATCGTGCGTCGATTCACGGCAGCCGATTCCGGCCCTTCCGCGCCAGGATGCGGACCTCTTTTCAGATGACGAGGCGGGGCGGGCTCTTGTTTTGTGGGCTTTCATGCATTTGTAGCATTGAACCCACCTTCTTGTTCCTAGTAGCATCTAGTAGCTATTTGCTAGTAGTAATGCCCTTTGTTACTAGTAGCAATGCCCTTCCTAGTTCTTGTTCCAGTATCAGTACACGATGCAGCTCGTCGCCTCTCGCTCAAAAGAAAGACCCCCAGAAAAGAGCAGAGAGCTAGCCATCCGATCTTCCAAACAGAGCGGAATCAGGGAGGTCATCGCTACTAGGAGCAGAGGTCATCATGTTTTGTTTCAACTGCCCCGAGCAAATTTGGAAGATGCTCAAAATCTGCAGTGGGGGTGGTCTATCAGGTGTGCGAACAGAACAATCGTCAACAAACATACGTTCCTTCTTCTTCAGTTCACCGCAGACTGAACTCCCAGGTGGGTCGGTCACCAAACTGCCTCTATCATTAAAGGGTCATTGGCCAAAAAGAACCTCAAGTTGGGTCACAAACTGAAGAAGCTGGTGAAGTCATTTGCTAAAAAACAAGGGCAATTACTACTAGTAACAAGAAGCTAGCAGGTTGGGAGGCCATGACTGGTAGCTAGAAGCTAGTCACAAGTGCACGCAAGCGGTCACGCGTTTGGGTCCGGTTTTGGCCCTGGCAGGTTCCCAGTCGCCGCCCTGTCCTCGCGTCTCCGTCTGTGCAGGCAGGTTGCTGGTGGTTTTGGGTGGTTTGGGGTGCCGATCTACTCATCAACTGGCGGTTGGAAAGACTGATTCTTGAAGTATCTTGGAGTCCATATTGGGCCATATGTGTGACCGGAGGTATGTCGTTCGGAACCAACCATGATGTTTCATTGCGAATGAGTCATTTCGTTGTGAATCATGCAACGAAAAGGCTTTGGTTGACCTTCAGAGAGATCACGCTTGGATATAGAGGTGTTCACAAGTATTTGTCACCATAAGTCGCAACTGCTTGATTGTTGAAATTTCGGATGGATTTTCAGTAGCAGTAGACGTCCATTCTAAAGAAGGACCACCCAGTTCAAGGGTTGACCCGAGCAACATGCTGATTTCTGAAGACCAGGGAGGCCTGGGTACTGCGGCGCTTATTTGGTTTGTGTGGTATCAAGGAAGGTGTGCATGTTTTGTTTGATCACTGTTGATTCATGCCATGCATTGATGCCTTGACCTTGGGAACTGTCATGGTCATTCCGAAAAAAGAGGGTGTGACCAGATGTCAGTGCCCGACTGTGTGTCTACCATGTCTACCTCTTCTTCCCTACCTTAAACCTTTCAAATGTACCAAAGGCTGCCCCACTGAAAGCTGGCCTCCAGGCACTCCCGACCCCGGCCAAGGAAGGCGGGACATCCGATGTTTGTGGGGAGCGTCCAAAGCAAAGAAAAGGACCCTCCACAAACCGTGCATGTTCAGGTACGATAAGATAAGGTTGTTGTTCACTTTCTGTGCACTTCTCCACGTCGAACTTGCCGCGCATGCTGTTACTTTTTTGGTGTTTGGTCCTCAAGTACTTCTATCCAAGCTGCGCCTCCATCTGGTTGCGCATGCCTGCAGCAACAAAAAAGCAACAGCTTCTGATTCTTAGACACACACACACACACATCCAAGCATGTTTCCTGCATACAATACTGGGAGTTGTAGCTCAAGGTACTAGCTAACAACATTGCATGTTCCAAAGCCACGAACAAAGATAGCACTCAGCAAGACACACTTCCCGGCCAGTGAAAGTCATTTTATCAACCTCCACTCTGTCGAACATCTACTATAGGTGTCTCTTCCTGGGGAACTATATCAAAGCAGGACCAGGACCATGACATACCATGACACCATCTTTCACCGCTCTTAGGTTGGAGGCCATCGCTAGTAGGTTGGAGGTCATCGCTCTTAGGTTGGAGGCCATCGCTAGTAGGTTGGAGGCCATCGCTAGTAGATTGGAGGCCATCGCTCTTAGGTTGGAGGCCATCGCTAGTAGGTTGGAGGCCATCGCTAGTAGATTGGAGGCCATCGTTAGTAGGTTGGAGGCCATCGATATCAGTTTGGAGGCCATCGCTCTTAGGTTGGAGGCCATCGTTAGTAGATTGGAGGTCATCGCTAGTAGGTTGGAGGCCCTCGCTAGGCCATCATAGGTTGGAGGCCATCGCTCTTGGGTTGGAGGCCATCGCTAGTAGGTTGGAGGCCATCGCTAGTAGGTTGGAGGCCATCGCTAGTAGATTGGAGGCCATCGCTCTTAGGTTGGAGGCCATCGGTAGTAGATTGGAGGCCATCGCTCTTAGGTTGGAGGCCATTGGAGGCCATCGTTAGTTTTGGACCTGACCGAAATGAAGCCGCGAGCCTGGCACACCGGCTCCGACGGAGTTGTCCTCGACGCGCAGATCCAGATCCGGATGACTATCCCCGCGTGGTGCGGCCGTCGCTGGTGCAACTGTCTGCTGAGGTGGGATGGAACGTCTGACGGGGGGGTTGGATAATGTAGGCTCTTGATTAATCACCTCCCCCATTTGATGTGAAAAACCTATTCAATAGGGGGTGTTATCAATCAAGAGTGGATTGGATTTAAGAGTCTGAGACGAGAAGTTGTTGACATCATGTGAGCAACCAAGCCCATAATAGAGTGGAGCTGTTGAAGTCCTTCTGAGTGGAAGGGAGAAGTTCGCCAGACGCAGACCTGTTTTGGACTGCCATAGTAATTTACTGATCAGTTGGGGTGGTTGAAGAGGGCTTCAATGTAAATACTCCAGTCTCATGCATGGTCCGGTTCCGGTATAACATAACCGCATGACATAACCGCAAATATGGCTTTCGAAGTCCTGCCTTTGGGATACTTTTTCTTGGAGTCTGTGCTCCAGGTCTCGCCCAGTTTGCCCTTGACCACGAAGGAGACACGCGGAAGGGGCGATCGCGCGACGGGAACGAGGAACGAGAAGACTCGACGGGCGATGGATAGGCGGTTCGACGGCGCGCAAGCGCGGTTGAGGATTGGGATCGATCAGTGAGATTATATAGGGATCAATGAGTGTGGGTGCAAAGGGTTTAAGGTAGTGATGGACAGGGCCATAGAGTGGAGGAGGAACAGCAACATTTCAGTGCGTGAAGGAAGGGAGGAGTAGGAGAAAGCGAATTTACTTTGCTGATGTGCTCAACATCACACGGCCATTTCTTTGGATTTGCTTGATAGAACAAATGTCGTGCAAAGAGTGTTTGTACAAAAAGAATTGCTGGCTGGATGCTTTGTACTCCACAGATCACCTGCACATCTGACATGCCACCCCAATATTGCCCAGAAGAAGGCGTCTTCAGTGACCTTACGTAGCTTGACAACATTGACACCATCTGGAGGCCAGTGCTTTTGGGTGATTCCTCAAGACAAACAAACACTTCAATTTTGCAGTTCCCCTGAGAGAAAGAACAGCATTCTTAAAGAAACAACAATCTTTCGTAGAGTGCCCTCCGAGTACAAGGCAATCATTGGCATTCATCGCTGCTATCTCCGTTCGCCAGGAGAGTGATACAGATGCTAGGAGGCGGAATCAGTTGGGTCCAATGGCGTGTGTGTTGCGGCCTTGCTGTCATGGATATGGTCATGGTTTCTGCCCGTGTCCGTCTTTGTGAGAATCCTATCCACCTCAGCAAAAAGCACGCATGCTTTCAGTCTCCGACTGATGAGATGTGGGCACAAAGAAGAGCTGGTACCAGAAAGAAGTACAGTGGGGAAGACTTAGATAAATATGCGGCACGTTTCCCATGTAAGCAAAAAAAGCTGTAGAACGTCGGTTGAATCGTAGAACATAAAACATGTTAAAAGAACAGCATGTTCCTTTGCTCGAAGGTCACCCTTCCATTGGTGGTTGGTGTTCACTGCTTTGGATCTACCCAATACTTCGATGCCAATACCTCGTCTCAGGCTTCCAAGCGGGGCTCCCGGCTTTTGAAGAGTGCCAGGAGGGAAGATGTTCGGTACATGCATGGATTGTTAGTGTCCCAGACTTATACTGAGCTTGGGATGCTTGAAGACGTGACCAGACTCTGGTTGACTCTTGATGAATTGAAGCCAAAATTCATGCGTTTTCACTGTTTTGGAGACATGGCTGGAGACCAGGACATCCCGGGTGGTTGCGTCGACTCACCTGCCAACTGTACTTAGCGGAGCGTAGGTAAGGACTTAGGATGGCTAGATCCAAAGGAACCTCTGTTGGGTGGTCAGCCACTCTTTATTGCCTATTTTCGTCGCACCCATTTGTATTCTTTGCCCAAACTAGTGGGGGTTCCCCGCCTTTTGAAGGAAGATTATTCGAGACACTCTGAACTTCGACGAGGGCAGTGGAAAAATGCACACCCGAAAGGAGTCATCCACACTTCTTGATAACACCTGGTCCTTTCTTGGTGCAACATGTCAACAACTCCTCCCCAAAAGAAAAACTTTCTTTGACTGACTGCCCTTATAAGTCCCTATATAACACTATAGCGATGGCCTCCAACCTACAAGCGATGGCCTCCAACCTACTATAGCGATGGCCTCCAACCTAATAGTTATATATATATATCATATATCTAATATTATATATATATTTGCCCCATCCTTCCTTTCTCTTTCAGTCAAGGCTTTGTCTCCAAATCTAGTGTGTTCCAGACCTGAAGATCGGCACTGAGGCGCTACACAGACGGCACACATTGAGGCCAGAGCGAGTGATGGCGGTTTGAGCTATGGAAGAGCTGTGGAAGAGTCGTCATCGGTTGGAACCTGAGGAAGATTTTGGAAGCTCTTAGGTGTGAATGTTTATTTTTGATACATGTAGGGAGCTGTTCTCCAATCCACCGGTCATTTGGCGGGAAGCGATGAGAACAGCATCGCCCCACTGGGGCTCTGGGCACAAAGACACTGCCGTGCCACTCTGGCCGAACGATCGCCGAGGCGACCGGTCGGCACACGATACGCCGGTGGTGGATGCAAAGATGGCCCCAGATCCAAGAAGGGGCCCTTTGTTGGAATCCCAGGCTTTGGTCATCGTATCCTTTCCCAGACGCTCCATGTATGCCTTATATGCCTACATTGGGGTGGTTCTGGGGGGTCAATGTAGGCATATAAGGCATACATGGAGTGTATGGGTTTTGGGGATTAGAGAAACCATTCAGGTTTGTTTTCGCTTGCCTCGTTCCTTTTTTGATCCACACTCCACACTCCACACTCGAAATCGCGCTCGCGCTCATGATGACTGGCCGAGGACTTCGGGGGAAGCTTACACTACCAAGAGAGGTTAAGTGACCTGAGCTAGGACCCGTCACCTGGGGTACCGAACTGGGATAGTCGAACTAGGCTTCTTCAACCTCTGTTGGTATGAATATGTATGAATGGACAACAGTGTTTTCTTTCACCACAGCCAATCTCGAGTTGGAAATTCATGATGTGTAACGATTCTGCAATTGGACACCTGTGGTCCACTGTGGTCCTTTCACTTCTCACCAGTCGTCTGGTCCTGTCGTCGTCTGATCCGGCAGGGGCCATGTCCAAACCTTTGGTGTGGAAGACGCCTCAATAAGGCACGGCGGCGGCATGGCAGCGGCAGGGGGCATGGTGAAGGGAAAGGATCCGGCAGCTACGGTGGAAGCCATAGAACATGCAGTCGCAGATCAGATGAGTCAATGACCCACACGAACTCAGGTGGCAAAGTAGAAATGACAACCCCCCCCACCAACCACTCCAGCCCAAAGCAAACCAAACCACAATCATGGGACACGAACATCAACGAAACTTCTCCAATCCTCCCAGGTCTTCTGCCAAGCAATGCCCAGGGTTTTCATATCTTTTCAAATTCCGTTCATACCCCCAGGGGCGCATCTTTTCCCTGCCAAATCTCCCAGGAAAGAAGGACGGACCTGTCCGATGCTCGCAGAATGTTGTGTGACGGACATTTTAGGAGCACAGGTGTGAACAATGATGGTTGACGTTCTTGCGACGCTTTTCAAAAGGGTTACCTCTCACTTTGGAAGATCTAGGGCGCAAACGATGAGCAGACAACTAGGTGAAGACCTGTAGCATCCTGCACCAGATGAGCTGAAAGCCTCCCGACCAGCGGGTCCTCGCAGCCTGATGCGCATGACCTGCAGTCGGTGGTGCTGCTACCCAACACCTGGATCACTCTGGGGAAGGAGGTGCGCAGATCACGACGGGTCGGGCACCAAACGCAGCACGTCCTTCGGCGCAGAGTCGGCGCAGCCCGAGGTCGGCGCCAAGGTCGTTGAAGTCGGAAGATCCGAAGTCGACCGTTGGTTTGGTCAGCTCGTAGACCTTGTCAGAGGGAGTGGAGGGAGCGGATCCACTGGGACGTACGACCGAAGGGCCGTGGTCATGTCGTGTCTACATTGGATGGCGTGACATCACGGAAAGGGACTGAAGAGATAGACGAAGTCCATGCCAGGTGAATACCAAACATTTACACGACTGGTCTTTAATGTTTATTTCAATACAATGATCACCTTGTTCTTAGGTTGGAGGCCATCGCTACTAGGTTGGAGGCCATTGCGAGAAATTAGAAGGACACTTCCAGTCCAGACTTGCCTGGTTTTGGTGGTGGTCTTTGTTGCGGGTCTTCCTCCTTATGGCTTGCAAAGAAGTAGCTTGCCTTTCTTCATCTTTCCCAGAGCTTGGATTCGCTGATCAGATCAATTCAATACAAACAAGGTGTTCGGTGTTCATACTGTTTTGTTTTTCCTGTAAAGAAACATGAGCGTGGAACGAACGCAGAGAACGCAGAAGAAATTGATGTTTTCCACGGAGCAGGAGCGTTGGCCTGTGTTTCTTCAGAGGTGATGGAGGTCAAATCAATCCCTAGCCGTCCCGGATGCCTTTTGTATCCTTTTGTATTGTTTGCGCAGCCCAGTCCATCCATCCCTTGTCCCGGGCGACCCTGGCCATCAACACACTGGGGGGAAGTCACCCCAGTGAAGCTCTCAGGGGTGCCATGTGAAGCTGCCTTCGCGGATGGTCTCCACGAAGCATTGCCAGCTGAGCCACTCGCCGCCGCGGTCACCGCTTGGTCGTTTTTAACTTTTTGGAGCTTATTTTGGGGGTATACTTGGGTACTTTCAGGGGAGACATCTCAGGAGGCGGTTTCTTCCATAATGTACAAAACACATGTTACGACACATGCCATGCTTTCATCTCTCACACCTCCATCCAATGTACCGATGCCGCCTCACAGCCCTCCGATACGCCTATGCCATGCTTTCATCTCTTGTTCACGTCGAAGTCAGTGGATCTCGTCCTCGAGCGAAGTCACGCGACCCACGCGACCGACCGCGTCTCCGCTCGTCCGCTACACTCGTCGACCGAGGGTCCGCTCCGAGGGTTCGGACCCGCGCGGACTTGGTGTGCGTCGCTTCTCTCGTCGTAGGAACACGTGCCATTGTGCGTTTTGGCACGTGCCATTGACTTGGGATTCCCCCCCAGTTTGGCAAGCAATAGACTGAGATTGGGACAGAGAGACAAAGAGAGAAAGAGAGAAAGAGAGAGAGAGGGCAGTTGCACCACACTCAGGATGGGTCAGCGCAGCGAGGCGCCTTTTCGTGTTTGTTCCTTTTGGACCGGAAGTGATGATACAGGAGATGGACATCACCGAAGGAATCTTCAATCTACGGTGATATGCGATTGTTCCTTCTGAGAAAACCAAGAAGACGTACAGACGACTTCGCCACCGACGAAGTAGTTGGCTGAAGACCTTGTAGATAACTGAAGCCTTGAGATACTTCATTCCTCGTTAGCTCCACTGGTTTGTAGCTCTTGATCTATTCCTGCTGGCTTTCTCGTTGGGCCAGTGCACAACTTGATTCCTCGTAAGGCTCTGTGAGAGCAAGAGAGGCCAACCAATTCTCTCCCATGCAGTCATCTGGCGAAGTGGAATTGGCGAGCTTCGTCGCGCGCGAAGCTCGATAGGCAGGTGGAATTTGTGGACACCAGCACAAATGGAACCTGGGTCAGTGGGGAGAAGGCGAGGTCTTCGCCTTGGAAACGGATTGGAAGGGCTCCTGGAAGCACCAAGGGATCCTGGCTCGTTGTTCACAATGTTTTTTGCATTCTCTAGATGCGAAAGATACGAAAGAGTTTGTACCGGCAAATGATGAAGAGGTTTGGAGACATTGGACTTCCCACACAGCCATTTGCATTCTGCTTGGCTGCTTGTCATCAAAAGATCTAGGATGGCGCCATTGCAGAATCATGAGCCAAACAAACATACTAATTACTCCGGGGAAAAACAACATGGACCTGGAACAACTTAATTTCAGGTGCTATTTGACCGCTGGAAATGGTGACTGGGGAAGCGGTCTTAGCGCTATTTTTGGCCATTTTCCGGCCATACACTAACATGGACCATTCCCACTCTCAGTCCATGATCGAACCTGACACTAACATGGACCAACTGCAATCTGACTATACACAGAACGCAGGCTAACATAGACCGCGTCGGTAGAGGTCAGCATAGCCAGGTGGAGGCTAACATAGACCATGCCACGTACGTCTAGTGTCTCTCTGAATTTGGTCTAGGTTAGTCTCAACAGAGGTAGGTGCGAAACTAGACTAACATATGCCACAACGAACAATTGTTTTGTATTTTTTTTTAATGTTAATTTGCCCAGAATGTTAGTTTTCTCCGGTGTACTTCCCTTTTGTCAAAGGGGATCGAATCCCTTTTCGAGGCAACGAGTGCGCGTCACTCTTCGTGTTCCGGCAGGTCTACCGGAATCGCAAAGAACCGAAGCTCTTGGAGCACGGCGCGCGGGTGGTCATCGAGGACCACGGGTCATCGAAGTGTCAGGGGTTCAGATGGCGGTGAACGGGGGGTGAACGGGGGTGACCGGGAGGAGGTTGGCTGCGCCAGGTTTCGTGGGATCTTTGTTGGCAAGTTTGAAGGTGGTGGGTTCAGATGAACAAGTGACCGCAAAGAATATAGCTTCTATAGCGTCTAAGGCAGATGGACTTCATCAACTGGTGGCAAACCTCAACGTGGTTCCCCCGGATGATAAATCGAGCTATTCACACTGGGCACTCGAGCTATGTAGGCCATGAGGGCACAGTCAGCTAAGTGCCATGAGGGCACTCAATCAAGGCCACAAGACCATCAAGGCCACGAGCGCTTTGTGAAAACGCAAGTCCGATCACGTCCGCTCATGTCCATTGATCGTCCAGGGGCAGTCCATAATTGATCCAGTCTAAAAAACATCCTGTCACAGCTCCAGCTTTCTTCAAAAACCCGACTATGACAGCGCCACCGCTACCTTTTGCACCACCGCTACCTGCGTGGCCCGAAGACCGACCATGACCAAGCGCTTCCCTCCAAACCCGCCCCTTCCCGCCGCGCCTGCCGCACGCGCGCGCGCCCGCGCGCCTGCCGCTTCCCGTGGCGCCAGAACGATCCACCGGAGAATCGCTTCAACTTCGTGCTGGACCTCCGGCCCACCGGTTTGGCCTTCGCCGACCCTCGACAGCTCCCCAGAGGCGTCCGGACGGAGGGACGGACGTGGGACGGACGTGACGGACGTGTGAGGCGCCCAGGCGCCTGGCAGGCTCCAAATGATAGAACCGGATGGAACCGCAGGTGCACTAGTCCATGAATGGATGACTGAAAGTTGGATGTCGTTTTATGAAGGCTTGATGACTTACAGTCGCGGGGATGATCATGGAAAGTGGACAACATCACCACCTGTTGGGCCATGTTCCCACCATGATGACTTCAGGGAGTGTAGATGGTTCTGGGCTGACCGGCCGAGACCAGCAAGCCTCAAGAAATGCGACGTGCGGGCCTACACAAGCGGGCGCACCCAAAGAAATCAATCGTAATGAGATACCGAGATACCTATATGGAACCCACAACCTACGAATTTGTCGTGTCTGATGGCAACCATTGTGTTTTAGCTCTACTTGAAAAGCAAACAAACATTGTTTTTCCAACAGCACATAAAGCACTAAGTTTCGATCCTCTATAAAGACCGTAGAAAACCCATAGAAACCCGTAGGCAACCGTAGTGTTTTCAATTTTTCCAGGGTATGAAGCTTCTTGGGGTTAATCGTTCTCTAGGTAGATAGAAGTGATACAGGGCGCCTACCTACATTTGAGGAAGCACATAATTGCGAATGGTCAATGGTTGTGAAGTGCTTTTGTTGAGCGGAGTTGAGCGGTCCTTTGTTCAAAGCAGAGGGTTTTCCTCTGTGGGTATCAGCCAAAGGGGACTCTATCTTAAAACAACTGTGGATGTAACAGCAACTGGCCTCTTGGACAAGATTGACCAGGCAATTTTCATGACGCAGTTTTTTGATGGCGACAACAAGTTTACTGTCCTACTGCCGGCTACTACTTTTCTTTGCATCCATGTCAATTAAACATAATATGCCAATACTTGGTAGTGTTATCAATCATGCATAGAGTAGCCTGAGTGCCTATATATAGGTGTAACCCCAGCAGGCCTTTGCTTGTTCGGCATGCACACAAGATCACCCCAAGCACTCTGGCTCCATGTCTCAAACGCGCCAGACGCAGGTGTTGACAGACCCAAACAAGAGTTGGAGCGAGAAAAGTGGAAGGCCTGGGGCATCGACCAGGTTTACCTAGCATTTCGTGGCCTGTGTGCCAGGAAGAGCACAGGGGGCCCTAAAGATTGAAGACCGAAAGTGTGTGTTGTTGCTTGCAGAATTTGGATCTGTTTAAGATTATGACAAATATGTCGAGCATCGGCATCCCTAGCTTCTTAAGCTGGAAGATCCGTGTTCCAGCTTGAACTCCAGCCCAAGCCAGTTCGTTCCCCTTTGCTCCAAAAGCACCGGGATTTCTCTCCCCATGTCTTCCAGCGTCCAACGACCAAGCTGGTTCGGGAGACCAGGTCGACGTGGACGTTTCGAAGCCGTTTTTTTCGGCGGAGAGAGTTGAATCACCAAGACAGCCTGGTTGAACATGCGGTTTCTCAATCGTTCCACTTTCATTTCAAGACACTTAGGCAAGGATCCGATTTGAATCAGTGCAAAGATGACGGGCCAGGTGACCAAATAAGTTCATAAGCATATATGGCTTTCATCATCTCCAAACCACTCCGCCCCTCCTAATACAAAACAACAACCGAGTCACCTTGGTCCAACTAATTGCCGTTCTCCCGCAGCATGGATGTCGACCTTGGCCGAGCACTGATGATGGGGATCTGTGGGTTTCAACAGGATTCAAAAGGCGTGAACTTGCACCTGGAACCCCAAACAACCGGAAACAAATGGTTGTTCCGGCAATTGACATCCTTTACATAGGAAATGGCTGGAAATGGGGAGTTCCATCCATTTCTTTCTGGTTGGGACTGGGGTTCCAGGCAGCTCTCCCTTGAAACCTCCAGTCACATGGGCTCGTGGCTTCACCTGGGCCGCCTAGCCTGCCCGCCTTAGCAGAAGTAACCCGGGATGGGCCACCACGGGTCGATCGAGCACCACATGTCCCGTGTGCCGTAGGAAGCCGGCGTGTTCTTTTCTGAACAGCTTTTCTTCACGGGCGAGACATCAGATATGGGGCGCAAGCGAAGTCCGTCGCTCCTAGCGGTCCTAGAGGCCTAGGATCCATGAGAATTGACGGACATTCACCACTTCAGAGTCTGCATTCTCTTTCGCAACATGTGGAGAGAACGTGTGGTTTCATGAAAAACATCCGGTGCCGAAACCCGCCTGCAGAAGCACCTCTTCTCGCTGCGGATGCGTCAAGACAAGCAGGCAGGGAGCTGCTTGCTTGTGCAGCTCGTATCCGGTGCTTTCAGAGTAGATGGCACAAACCTCAAGATGTCGATGTAACTTAGTCACCACCTCTTGGGGGATTTGTTGTGCTATCTACACTCAATTTCGCTATGTTGCTTTTCGGGTGATTGTTGGGACTGGTTTCTTCTAGCCATTGAGGAACTGATAGTGGGCAGTCTTCGAACTACCAGTTATTGAGTCATGACCAGCCCTGCTTTGAAGCCCTGCTTGAAGTCTAGCGAATCTTCAGGTGGATGGCGAAGTTTTCCAGAGTCCACTGCAGTAAACGCCAGCACATCCGAGTGATCCCTCAGGTGCTATAGGAGGATTGCATGCAATTTTTCGGTTGTTTATCTGCTTTTAAGCAATGCATTGACCATCCATATGGTTTCCAGATTTCGTTTCCATGACACGTTATTTGGGCAGCCATGACTATTTTTGCGCAGACCCCTCACACTTGGACTTCGATGTTCAGGCATTCCAAATATATAGGCACGAAAAGGTTCCTTTCAGTTTGTTTTGCTGCACGGGGCAATTAGCTGCAGGTCACGTTCATGTTTATTTGTCCCGCCGTCCCGCATCAGATTCTTGTGTGGTGCAAGAACCAGCAAGTTTAAGTTACCTCACCCTTGTTGGAGCTGGTGCTCATCGTGGACAGGGTCTGTCCTATTGCCTGTGGGAGTCAGTAGCATCACCATCATCACCATCATCATCATCATCATCCACTGTGACTGGTAATAGGACAATGATAGACCTATCAACTTGGAAATCGTCTAGCCCTCGAAGTCTAGTCCAAGATCCTCGGTCTTCCACACCTTGTTTTCGTCGATGTCGTAGCTAGTCTTACGCTCAAGGGCCCTCGTGAACCGAGATGTTTCGGATTCACGAGATGAACAACCTGAAATGAATGGAAAATCATGTATGCATTAGCAGGAATCGACATGGGAGGAAAGTCTATAGAATGCGACCCATCTCTGAAACCATATCGCCTGCATGAAGAAAATTCAAAATTCGGGCCCTTGACTCACCGCTCGTAAAAATCGCTCTGGAATTCATAAGATCCGTGCGAGCGAGGCGGGAGAGACACAAACCTGTTCCTATCAGGATCAAAGGTACAAGGCGTTTGGCATACCTTGTCTTTCACTTCCCAGTCAGAGACTCTTTGCCGAAAACGAGCTAAGCCTTCCAGACGTTCGTTTCGATCTCTCTGAATCAATGTTCTTTCGAGTTGCAAGATCTTCTCCTTCTGTTCTTTGACTTTTGCTCCAACTTCAACCATGAACAGCAATCGGGAATTGCAAAGTCTGTTCCACAAACGAATCTGGTCAGGGGTGCAATGTGTCGTGTCCTCAATGTCCAACAACTGCTTGTAGGCCTTGCAACGAGAGTCTGTCCAATCTTCTCTAATGATCTCACCTCGCAGGTTGCCGTCGATCATATGGTTGCTGTAGTTTTTCACCACATCCTGCAATGTTCTCTTCCATTCTCTCTGGCTTCTTTCATTCTCTACACTTTCCTTGATTTGATACCAGCGACGCCACTCGTCAGGCGTGACATCCGGATCATCGTTCACCGATGAACTGCCAGCATCACTCACCTGGTCATTCTGTGCAATCTCATTTTCTTCAGCCGCGCCATGGCTCGGGATGGAGTCATTCTCAACGACCTCATCACCTTCAAACAAGTGCTCATTCGAAGTCACCTTGTCGGGAAAAAGGGTGCTCAACTTGCTCATGGTCCACTTGTAAACTTTGTGAGCCACTGTCTGCATGCCAATGAAGGAAAACAGAAAAATCACAAGCAATGTCAACAGCAACACATAGTCAATGCCTGCTTGTTGCTCAATGCTAGCTGCTTCGACACCAGCCTGCTCAACTCCTTGCGTTGCCAATGTCAAAACGGCAATTTGTGCTGCTTTCTTCCAAGCATCGCTTCTCTTGGTGTGCTGACTCACATGCTTGTAAAAATGCCTTCTGCTGCAATAACGATGCTCGCTTTGCTGATCCTTCAAGGCTTTTCCGCAACCGGGCAGTTGACAAATCCCAGCTTCAACTTCACATGCTTCGAAGATGTCACCTTGGAACAACATCTTTGCTGCTTCCTCATGTGCTTGCTCTTCACCTGCTTTTGCGTCCTTGGTCACTTTCTTTGCTGCCGTGAAGCTAGGATCAAACTTCAATGCATGAACACCACGCTTGAGAACATGTGCAAAATTGTCTTTTGCTCCAGGCTTGGTCAGTCCATCTGCCACTTGTTGAGATGAGTTGACCCATTTCATGTATCCAAGCATTGCGGAAAGTCTCTCCTTGACTATTGCAACTTCTATTGCTGTCCTCTTCTCTGCCAAGCGAAGTCCTGCTGAAACCGACCTTGCCGAATCGAACAATGACTTGGCATCTGTCAATGCTGGGGTGGCTCCGAACACATGAAGTACCTCTTCGTCAGCTATTGAGATGTATGGACAAACCAATCCAGCTGCGAAAACCTTCATCCACTCAACTTCATCAATGGCACTTGCTGCCGCTTGAGCTTCTGCGGACAATGATGACCTGCACATGCGATTCAGCTTGCGGGAGTGCCAACTGACAATAGTCAATGGAAAAGGTTGTCCACCATTGATCTCTTCTTCCGTGCCAATGAAGATCGTGTGACCTCCTTGTGATGACCCATCGGGGCGAATTCCCCAAGATGCATCCATGTACACTCCGAATCGCATCTCCGAAAGGTCACGACCATGTCGCCTCAATGTCATGCTGTATCCCTGAACAACATCTTTTGCAAACCGAAGCAACTTGTTGGCCTGAACAATGTCATTGACCGTCGGATTGCTGGATGAAGCCTGTAACAGGGATATGGATGCAGACAACTGGGGCAAACATTGTCCCGCCGGCCATGCCAATGCTCCGATGAGGGCTCTCAGCATCTTCACTTCTTTAGGTTCCAGCGGTGCATCACTCATTGTTTTCCTCGACTTGTCAAGGGTGATTGGTTTCACCTTCAACACGTAGTCCTTCAAGGAAAGGGTCACACTGTCACAACCAATGCTTTGCTCCAATGCTGTTCCACAAAACAGGATTTGAGAATTTCGACCAAAATCCCAACTGCCAAAACGGAACTTGTGGGCCAGCTGTTGTAACCTTTTCTTGAAGCAACCACCTGCAACTTCTGTATCTGTCTCCTCACGAATTCCGGTGGCGTCCTCTACACTGTGAACCTCTTCTCCGCATCCGAGAAAATCATCCACATGCAAACCAAGAATGCCGTCAACAACATAGTGAATGCTCTGATGCTCAAACACCTGAAACTCTGCATCTGTTCCACATGCCTGTCGCACGCTCAAAAACACGCAGTTGTCCAAAGGGTGCTGAACAAACTGAGCCTCGTTGATGAGGAAATCTCTGGCGGACTCATACCACTGTCGAGGTGCCCTGACATCGCCGAATGCCGGTTTCGTGGCCTTCAACAATTCCCATGGTTTGAGATCCATGAGCCTCTCCAACCTACGCCTCATCTCAGCTGTCGGGCGGATGTAGATGCGAGTGTCTTCATCTATGGACTTGGACTGCATGAAGGCACTCTTCACATCGGCCGCAAAAATCTTCCAGCCTAGTTGACAAGCCCATTGCAAGATCAGCATCCGACCTGTCCTGCTCAGCGTTGGTGACTCTCTGTCGAGCTCCTCATTCAAAACATCCTTGTGTCGGAATCCTTGGATGATGACACGAGCATTCGCAACTTTTCCTTCTTTCGTGGGCTTCCATCGCTGCAAGAAGCGGGCAAGGATGACTTCTCCTTCCTTGGCCTCACTCTCAGGGACTGCTTTCCATGCTTTGTTCTCCAACCAAACACGAAGAGCCTTGTCCTTCGCGTCACTGAACTCCTTCTTCTCCTTGTCCGTGAGTTTGGCCTCATTGAAAGACTCTGCCATGAGATCTTCATCCTCCTCCATAGGTTGAACCATTCTTTCCCAGTGTTTCTCGAAAGAAGGATCATTCATTTCAACTTTGGGCATCCCATCTAGCTGACGAGACGTGTTGTAAGACTGGAACGCAATGGCCTTCTCGTCACGAAATGGAGGGCTTCTTGATCTTGTCGTGGTTTCTGGATTCACTCTCACAGCGTCTTTCACCTCTTCCGAAGTCTCCATAGCTCGACTTCTCTTGCGATCTTCCGTCATCTCCGCATCTGCTTTCTCCTCTTCCTCATTCTCAGCAATACTTGGCAATGCACTCGGCGCAGATATTCCGACATCGGTTGCAGTGTTCTCCGATGCCGGGGCATCGGTTGCAGCGTTTTCCGAAGCCGTCGAGACTGCACCTGGACTCGCTGCATTCGCAAAAGAGGTACCCCCAGAAGAGGGAAATTGCTGAGAGTGTAGGTCTAGAAAGCGAACTGGTCCACGAAGAGGTCTGAGTGCGGTCAAAATCTGGTCTTTGACGGAACGATCACTTGCCGTTTCGGGCATGTTTTCCAGCCGTGCCACACGCTCACGAGGAAGTTCCGGTCGAACATGTTCTGGTGCAACACGTACCATGGAGGAACCATGAGCCAACCAGTAAACGTGTGGCGTGAACTTCTGAGCATCGGACTTGGGCTTTGGCTCAATCATGCAAACTAAGGCCGGGCCCCTCCATCGCGAGGTGTCAAGCTTGGTATCGCCTTGTCTCCAATAGTAAGCCCAGGAACCGAGCTCCAAGGAAACATGCTCTGATCGCGGCCTGGCCAAAAGAGATCGCCGAAGAAGGGCATCGTTGTTTGCTTCATGAAATGCTTTGGCAGCCAAAGTTCTCAAAACAACAAGCTCTTGGGCGGCCTGCGGAAGATCTGGTCTCAAATCATGTGGTTCATCCAAAAGTCCAGACAATGCATTTGGAGCTCTGCCAAAAACGAGATCTGCGGGCGATGATCCATGGATGTTTCTCAAGCGATTTCGCTGGCTGCAGGCGGTTCGAATGGCCTGGCTCAGATCCACATTTGGCACTTCTTTCTTCATTTTCAACAGTTGAAGACGGCGAACAGCATGAAGTCGTTCAACCGTACCCATCTTGAAATGTGCCTCTTTGGGAATCAACACCAGCTTGATCTTGTAATAGTCCATGGCATCCAGAAATTTCTGGCTCATATGCGCTCCAGAAGCATCTGTCTTCAGGCGAATGGGGAAACCAAAAGGCTGAAACCACAAATCTTCTAGCACTTTCAGCTCTTCTTCTTCTGTTTCTCGACTCAGCAGTGCATTCACCTCATACTTCGTGAACAAGTCAATCACTGCCAAAATTCGGACTTTCTCATCATTCCACTTCATATGGAAAGTGTCCATCTCAATGATCTCATTGAAGAAGGTGGCTTCGGTCAAAGCTGCTGGATTTGCATTCTTCTTCAGTGAATCGCTCTGGCAAATGTCGCACTTGTACTTTCGAGCACAGGAAATCACTTCTTCTGGAAACTTTGCGTCCTTCAAGGCCTTCACCAATTTGTCGTTTCCAGGATGGCCGAGTTGTTTATGGAGCTTGTTCACGATCTGGAGAGCTTTCTTTCCATGCGTCTTCATCATTTCTTTGTCGCTCTGACTGACGACTTTTTCCTCATTCTTGCTCTCCTCAATCTCCATCTCATCCATCTCGTCCATCATGAAGATCTTCAAAGTTTCTTCATTTCGCCATCTTCGGACCATGTCTTGGTAGATAGCATCTGCAGCCTTTTCTGTGAATCCACTCTCATAATTCTGCATCTGCTTCAGCTCTTTGGAACGGCCTTCCATTTTCACATGCTCACCTGCTTTGCACTGACACTTCAAATGTAGTGCCTCATGGACTGAAGGACTGTTGGTTCTGATTCTGGTGGGTTTCTTCACTTTGCCCAGCACTTGTCCTCGTTGATCACGAAGAATCAGTCCGGTCCGGCATCTGTCACATTCAGCATCCTGTATATTCTTCTTCTCCAGGTCTTTCATGGTCTTGGTTTCCCATGATTTTGCCCACCTGGGATGTTCAAAGCTGACACCGGAATCGATCTCTTCTCCAACTTCGAAAACCTGCGACACAAAGCTGAGGTGTGTCTTCTCCTCATCTTTTCTCACTTCTTCCAACTTCTGTTTCTCCTCCTCCGTGGTGGCATTCAAATTCTGCATTGATGACCATTTCGTGCATGGAGGTGCCATCCAAACATGTCGGGGTCGCTCAAGCTTCATCAACTGCAAAAACTCCTTTCTCACATGACTTTTCGTGAAGTCCCACTCAGGTAGAGAGAAGTTCGCGACACAGACATCTTCATGTTTGGATAAAAGAGTCTTCGACAACTGTCCTTCATCCACATACACCTCGAAGAAGTTCATCATCCGATCTTGTTCAACTGCCTTCATTGCTTCTTCAATCATGGACTCCTCTTCAATCTCCAACTCAACGAACTGGAGGTCACCTGTCACTTCCTTGTCCATCGAAGGTTCAATGTACCACACATCGTCCTCCACGGGCCATGCTGTTGTCACATCCTCAGGGATTGCGAGCACTTCTTCAACTCCCAATGTTTCGTTCTCAAACTCCAGGAGGTTCACGATGTAGTGCCCTTTCTTTCCCCTCTCAGGCTTAAACCATTCTGAATCCTTGATCTTCAAGCTTCCTTTCTCGTAATCCTGTTGCACCTTCCAATCTTCCAGCGTCGGTCGTGCCAGAAGGAACGGTGTTTGTCCTGGTACAACAGAAGCGGTCACTTCAAGGTCTTGTCCACATACACGGGCTGGGAAGGTGATGTCATAGTTCGAACGAAGTGTTTCTCCTCCACCGAACTTGAAATCACGAGCGATCTGAGTGACTTGAACTGGCAAGCCTCGTGCATGGTCCAGCCAATCTTTCCAAACCTTCTCACCAACTATCGTCCTGGTAGCACCTGAATCCACAATCGCTCGACCTGGTTGCAGGGCTGAAAAATAACACTCTTCAACGCTGCCACTCTCTTCCACCATTGAGACTTGCTCTTCAGGCACTTCTTTCACTCCACTTGACTGCACACGGAACCGCTTGAATCTTGGCCCGTGACTGCCGGTCGAGCCTGACAAAGTGGACCTCAGGTCATTGGTGTTTGTGCTGCTATTGCTGGAACTGGATGTAGTTGGTCTCCTAAGTCCAGACATTGGCCTTCTGTTGTCAAAGGTTCTCCGGAACCCGCTGCTCTTGCCTTTGCCTTTTCCTTTTGCACTCTTTCCTTTTCCTTTTCCTTTGCTCTGCCCTTTGCTGCTTCCTTTGCCTTTGGATCCTTGACCACGTCCATCTGCTTCAGGTCCAATGGCAACCACGGGGTAAAATCCCCTGGACAGGGCAAGCTCTCTCATCCGTCGACGACTGTCCAGGTAGGATATGTATGCTTCTTCTGTGGCGTCAACAGCTTCATCCAGCTCCTCAGGCCACGGTTCATCATCTTGCCATTCTTCAAAATTCACTTCTTCCTCCCACCAGTCATTGAAGTCGTCTTCACCATAGTATCCTTCTTCATCTTCGACGTCATAGTCATCCTCGAAGAACACTTCTGTGGAATTGCCGGTCCTTTGCAAGTCCTTAGGATTTGGCTTGTGATCACCACCAAACATCTTCATCAATGCTTTGTGAACTTTCTCGTACTCCAATTCACCTTGGCACAATGCTTTCACCTGAACATGTGTCCAACGGGGAATTCCTGAACGGGTCAACAAATGCCAACCACTGAGCAACGCTGGGACTTCAACTCCAACATCTCGCATTCGCTTCAGGAGAGTTCTGTGCCTTACCAAATAAGTGGTCATGTCTTCATTCTTCAACCTCTGGAATTCAGCGAAAAACTCTTCACAGCGGGAAGGCACTTCAACCTGCTTCTCATATTGGTACAGGTTGTCCAGGATTTCGTACACAAAGGTGAAAGGTTGTGTACTGCGTTCCAAAGCCTCAAAAGAAATTTGCTCTGTAGAATCCCATGCCAAATCTTGCAACCTTGAAATCAACAACAATGTACCCTCAACTGCGGTGTCAACATTGCGTCGATGACATTGCCGTTCAAACAACTCAACTCTTCTGCGAAAGCTTCTGTATGTTTTCTGACTCAAACCATCTGTGGAGGGACATGCTTTCGACAATCCGGAATCCAAACCTTTGAAACCTCCGTTGTCTCTTCTGCCCCCATCACCTTCAGCTAACGCTATTCTAGGTCTTGTCTCGTCCGGGAAGTCAAACTCTCTGGGTGTCCTGACACGTCGGGTCCCTGTCCTCCTCACCGGTGAGCTTCGTTCAGCTCCTGCAGCGGCCTGAGACATCAGCCTGCCACGCCAATCACGATCTGTGAGGTGAGTGTCACGAAACCCTTTCACAGGATCACGTAGCGCTCTTCAAACACGAAGTCTCACCGTCGTCAAATGCCGTGAGGAGCGTCTCGTGCTCCGCTACCAATATCAACTTGGAAATCGTCTAGCCCTCGAAGTCTAGTCCAAGATCCTCGGTCTTCCACACCTTGTTTTCGTCGATGTCGTAGCTAGTCTTACGCTCAAGGGCCCTCGTGAACCGAGATGTTTCGGATTCACGAGATGAACAACCTGAAATGAATGGAAAATCATGTATGCATTAGCAGGAATCGACAAGACCATATGATAGACCCAAGGATCCCAAGGTATTGGATAAGAGACTACGAAAGTGACTGGGGATCATTGATCGTGCTCATGAGGATCTGGGTGTTGGCACACTTGACATAGTTTGAACATACAGTTGGCTGGTGCAGCTGGGAGCAGAACAGGTCTTTTGTGTGGTTGTTGATGGCAGTGTCAACTTGCTTGTGAGGAGTCGGATATCCTTGAGAAGGAGAAGTTTTACCATGAGCTCCAGGCAAGTCTCTCGAAGCGTATTTTTTATCGCGCGAGCATGTGTGATCCACAGACGTCGGAAAGTGCTTGACCGGTCTTCGCACCTCACAGACGTCAGGCGCCATGGTGAAGTGGCCATGGAAAACAGCCATGGATTTCATCCTGTCATCGCAACGATTTTAGACAGCTTCCCTTCTTCACTTCACTTCCTTCGTCGACCCCCAAAAAGACCAGCGCGACTCGGCTTTTCCGCCCCCCGCGCCTGTCGGGGCCGAACCGGGCGGCGGTCCGCCGTCGGGGAGCCTTCAGGTGCAGCGCCGTGAGCTGGAAGCAAAGACTCAGCTCTGGCAGGGAGAGTGCCTCGACCGGTCTTTTTTTTTCAGTCGAAGGCACGGAGTCTCGAGCGGGCCAAGGTGCCCAGTGTGGAGTCGCTTCGCACGCGGATTCGGAGGGGAAAAGCAGAAGAGATGCAGAGGGGGTGGTTGGTTGATTCCAAAAATGTCCAGGTTGCAAGGTTGACTTATAGTTGGTATTCTTGGATGCTTGCCAACCGATCCAGGTGGTTCTTTACGACCTTGGAGGTGTACAGTTTCCATCCTGTAATTAAAGACATCCAGTATCACCCAAAAACAAATGGGGATAATGGGGATATTTACCAGTGTTGCAGACATCTTACTTGGACATCTTATGTGGGGCCGTGCATTCCATTCGGTACACAAGGCGTGAGTTTGACTAATGCGCAACGTCTAGGTGTGATAAGTACTCATTTCAAGAAGGGTAGATCACGTGTGCTCCTCTCTCTTTTTTTTTCGTGAGGCAAGGCCCGAGATAGGTTTCACATGGTTTCACCATTACAACGTTCAACTTGTTTGGTACAGAATGCAAGAGCACCTTCAACCAAATTTATCAGGGATGACCATGTCCTGAGCCAACTAAGGATTGAAAGACTGAAGGAGGCAGCTTGGCGGATGCTTTTCAGTGCCAGCGAAAAACGGCTGAGATCAGAGAAGGCCTGGTACAACAACTTGGTTACTATCTTAATGTGTGTGTGTGTGTGTCATTCCAGTCTCCACTCACAGCAGGTCACGTTATTTCGTGAATTTCAGCAGCTGAACATAGGCACACACTCTGTCGTGGTCTGCGTCACACGCTCAACTCGTCACACGCTTCTCGTGAAGTAGAAGCTTCTCGGCTGAGGACACCGAGATGGTGTTGAAAAAGATGTTCGAGAAACGCGATGCTTGGAAGGCCAAACTCCAGGAGAAACGCCATAGCTGGAGCTGTGGGATGTGAGAGTCCCGATGCCATGGACGATACTAATGTGTCCAGGCCTGCGCCATACGTATGATTTTGTAGTACAGTGGCATCATTTTCATGGACCTTGAAGTCGGGGCGGGGGGAGCCTTCCAGCTCGGTGTGTGAACTCTCTGGGGATTGTCTCAATGGTGGAGGAAGTGTCCCACTCCTCGATTTATTCAGACTTTTTCCCAATGTTAGTTGGAGATTATATAGAGATAACACATTCACATTCGCTACAGCACCCTCACTGCCAGGTCACCACCTGCCACCTTTTATATATATAGGTCTCTCTTCAAGCCACCAGCGAAAAGACAGGGTGCTGGTCGTGGTTCTGTGCTGGTCGTTGACCAATGCGAATTCCTTCACCACGAAGCTGTCCTTCACCAGGAGCTTTACAAAGCGAACGAGGCCCGGTCATCTGCCCGGTCGGCGGTCATCGGAGTCGCCATGACACCTGTGCACCTGAAGAGATAAGCCCAGGAGAGACTTTGTTATATGTCTACTGTAAATAAATCTAACCCTATATAAAAATACATATATATATATAGTTCATGATAGTCCCCCACCTATAGTACATGACGTCATGTACAAGAGAAAAGGCAAGGCTTGAGTCTTGAGTCAAGGATGAACATGCGAATGGGACGCCGGGAGAAGAAGCTTCGGAAGTGGCGGCTAGGAAGTGACGGTTCCATTGACGCAGCGCACCATAGAGAAGCAGGCGCGGCGTCGACGTGGTTATGTGGGGCTCATGGGTTTTATGGCATGTTATATACAATTATATACAATGCACTTAGAGTAATGTAGACTCTTGATTAACAGCCCCCCCTCATTATGTCTTTTGAATTGGAAAATCTCCTTCATACTTCAACTGGGGGGTTTATTAATCAAGAGTCTACATTATGGACATGGGGAACTCACCAATTAACTCAGTCAATGACAGAATCGAACCTCTAACAATTTGTGTCTCTACACCCGAACACCCTATACCAGTAAATGAGCAAACAGCCGCTTGAGGGTAGGTTCCTGATGTCGCTATTGTGTATTTCCTCCGGGGTTGATACACCCAAACCCGCCAATGCTCGGAGCCGACCGGCGATCCCCGCGGCGCGTCGCAGACGCGCGCGGAGTGGATGGTATATGTTTATTGGAGGCCATGAAGCGGACCGCTTCCACTGAGGTCGACGGCCAAAAACCAAGACGTACAAAAGGGGTGACTGACCTGGCAAGAAGGGATTTTTCGTTGCGCTTGGAGCGTGGGACCGTGCCTCCTTTCGGAACCTTCGGGACTTTGCTTCAACTTTCCCTAGGGCTCCAAGTACCTCGTCAGGTATTTGGACCCCCTAAAGCCACCCCAAACACCTTCTTAGAAGGTACTTGGAGCCCTAGGGTTTATATACGAGCCACCTCCCCAACAGGGAGTTCTGCCCAGCCGCCCCAGCCAGCCTATCCCAAGTTGCCAAACCCTCGACTCGAGAGGTGTGCGCGTGCGACAATCCCTCGCCTCTCCACCGGGCTCTCCCCAGCCTTTCCAAGGACCAGGTACATCAGCTCGAAGGGAAGAGCCTTGGCGAGCGGATCCATCGATCGAATCAGTGGGTGACACGTCGATAGCAATATCGGTGGTCGAGGCTTCCACCAGGGCAATGTGAAGGTTTCAAACCCTGGAGATGTAGCCATCACTATTAGGTGGAGGCCATCGCAAGTAGGTTGGAGACCATCACTATTTCGAGCAGTTGGTGCTTGCATGGCGATTTTTGGACCCCCAAACAATGTTTGTTGTAGTTTTGCTCTGAAGAGAAACTTTGTTTGCGTCTCTTAAAGTGGATGTTGTGAAGCCATATCATATCATACATACCCACATGTTTACGCACCCCTGAACAATCTCCAGCAAGGCAGACAACCTTTCCTTTGTGGTTCGTGCATTGGTGCGTTGGCACGATTTACAGGGTGCGTTCTATGCATGGCATAGATCTGCCAACATGTGACATGAGACAGTGATAGAAATATATAGAAATCATAAGAACCGATTTCCTTGCACAACCACAGTCAGATTGTAGGACTATGCTCAAGGTCTCCCTCAGCAGTCCAGAACAATTACAAGAGTTCTTCCTTTGGATCCCTTGCGGACAAGTCGAAAGGACAGTTGTTAACAGTCTTGCTATCACAGTTGTTTTTTGGTTTCTTCCAAGACGCCGACAAGACCTACCCAGAAGATTGGATGGCCTGATTCATGCGTGGCAAGCTTCTCAACTCAAGAGCACCTTGATGAAGACTTTTTGAAGAACGCCAGCCCCTTCACAAAAAGAATGCATGTACCTCGGAACACCATCTCCCAGATGCTTGTAGAGACCTCAACGGACGGTTGTCCAACAACATGGCACGGCCTCAACGCTCTTGCGCCTCAACGCTCTTCCATGGCCCTAATTAGCAGATACCGTACAATCGAAGACAGGATCTGAACCGAAGGGCCTATGGAAACCAAAGAAGGTCAACATCAGAAACCAAGCAACAAAAAAGCCAGGTCAGACGCTTATATCTGAGTGCGTGCTAAGAGAATCAGATACTGTACAATCAGATATTCTAAAGAGAGAGCACAGAGAAAACAAAAAACCCACAAACAAAACAAAACAAAAAAACCCTCGTTTTTGACAATCAGATATTCTAAAGAGACCTAACTGCTCCCGAACTGCTTCCCACGATGTTCCACTCTTTTCGATCGAATCCGAACCACAGAGCCCCAACCCAAGCCTCTCGGAAGACATGCGGCAAAGCAGAGCACACGATGGTCTGTTTTTTGTTTAAAACGTGTAGAACACGCGGTTGAACACTGTAACATGCATGTTTTTACATGTCAAACGCATTGTTCTTTGTCTCCCCATTTCAGCAAATCCTTTAGTTTGCGATTTATGTGTGAACGCCGAAAAAAAACCATTCGCCCAAGCTGTCCATTGGTTCCGTTTCCGTGCCCGTCCGCGGCGGTGCTCCATGGCTCATGGAAGCCATTTTGGAGCAGGCGTTTCGGGTCGGGTCGGCGGCGTCGTTGGTTCGTTTGTTCGACCACCCACTTTCCGGGCGCCAAACGAGTCACCAACGGTCGCATGCGACCGGCTTTAGCCAAAACATGTCGCACGGATGAGCATGGTGGGATGTATGAAGCGATTGGTCTGCTAAAAGGCGAGTGCAGGGAAGGCTCTTCCTGTTGTGAGAAAGTATTCACCTTAGACTGCTTGCAAGGTACTGACTTAGGGGGACTTGGCAGGTTGATGTTGCAACTTTTGAGAATACTCCTCTTTGGAAATTAGCTCATGAAAATTGCATATTGGACTGAATATGAAATAGGAAGTCTCCGAAGAGCACTGCCTAATGGGGAACATGGAGATACAAATGAAGCCTACTGATGAGGGTGACCAAGCATGCGCTAGCAGACAGGATCTTGAAGAGGTCCAAGTTGGAGATACCATGGAAAAAAGACAGGCTGTCCATGGAGAAATACAGCTGTCCACCTTGTGAAGTTCTGGCCATCCAGGCATGCTTCGCTTTGCGCAAGCGAAGCTGGCCGACAAAACCGATCGAAACACTCGACGTTCTGCATCGCGGAAAGGCAAAGCAGCTGGAAGGGTCTATCCAAGACTTGGAGAAGAGGAGCGAGGGAGCGACTGGTCGTGGAGTTGATCAAAGCCTCTCTCTCACCTCTTCGGGTGGTCAGGGTCCTTTGCATTGGCTTGAGCTGTTCGGTCACTCTTCAGGGTCCTTTGCTTGTGGGTGTGGTGAAATGATGCCGAGCTAACGTTCAGGCCAGATACAGAAAAACTAGTGTCAAGGAGCTACTAGTAGCTTCTTGCTACTAGTAGTAATGTCCTTAGCTACTAGATGCTACTAGTAGCGTCCTTGCTACGTGCGTAGCGATGCAACTTGTGGGTTTTCCATCTGTGGAGAAGCCAAACCGGCCTCACCGCCATTCCTGGCCACGCGTCCGCGATCCGATGAACCGTGGGGGTTTCGCCAGGAAAGCGGAGTTACAGGCAGAAATCAAGCGTTTGGATGAGGAGACCCGTGCCATGCGTAGAAGTTCTGCTGGGCCATGGGCCCGGGCCATGCGTTTGAAGGCACCAGTGAGGTCACCTGCACACTGTTGGCCGAAAAACATGTTCTATTTCTAGCAGTGTCATTTAGGGGGCAAACAAGAGGAGTTGAAAGATCAGGAGACATGGTAGGCAATGCGTACGTTCATCCCTCTTCGCTCCCTCAAAGGGGGACCTCAATATGAGTTCGGCATTCAGCGAAGCCGCTTCATATAACGCCGGACTTGTTGAACACATCGATTGTAGCCACACATCGTGCCTGGGGTGCGTCGCACTTCTTTGGTCTTCTTAATAAAAAGCACTCCAATAGAAAAGGGGTAACTTCAGAGTGGCCGACACCTCCGAGCCACAGCAGTTGAGCCACCAGGCTCGTTGAACTCAGACTGCACAAGGTCAGACTGGCAGACCGAGACTGGCTTGACGGTTTAAAGATGTTTGGGGTCGGTTCAATTGATCTCCGATTTGTCTTCGTCGAGCTACCGACTGTCTTCGAGGAGTGCGAGCGCAAGCGAGCAGAACTGGAAGACCACGCCTCACGTCCCGGGCCTTGGTTGGACCACGGAAGAAGAGCAGAGCAACGTTGGACCTAGACTCCTGCAGGTTCTATATGCAGGTAAAGAAGTGTCCACTTCATGGGTTGGCCGGGTCAGTTGTTCAAGGTTGCTGTGTTACTGTGTTGCTGCGCAGCTACTAGTACCTGAGATTTGCTTCACTAACGACTTCGATATCCAGAAGATTGGCTCAACGACTTCCCTTAAGGATGTTGTATCCTTGTTCTAACTTTCTCTTGCATGTTGCCAGGGACGGATACATTCAGCTCTACCATAACCAGTTCCGAGTTGGTTTTTCGCGTCAGGCTACGCCGAGTTGAACCACGTGCTCCCAGCCGGTGACGAGGTGTTGACACTTGATGTGGCAGGCCGAGTGGCGCCCGGGGCAGTACGGGGCGCCAGCGCTTTTTGTTTTTTGGCAGGGGAGGAGGGGGGTTGAAGAAGCCTTCAAACACTTACAACCATTGTCAAAGAAGCATTCAATGATTGTCTTCAAACACAAGATCGATCAAGATCGTATTCATACACAAAGATCTTTCAAGCAGCAATGGTTTCATGGAATTTCTGCCAGCTCTTTGCGAGCTAAAACGGAGCCAATTCGTTCGCCAACCCGTTTTGCCAACACTTTGATGATGTATATGTAACTCTAAAACTATGTTTTTTTCCCCTGCAGTTTCTTTGAATTCGATAATCCAAACCTCTGACCATCTCTGAACCGTTGATGACACGACTTGCAGAAACCCCAAGCCTTGCCTCCAGGTGAGACCTTTCGTGCGTATCGCTCGACCCTGCAGCAGGTCAGGGTCCGAGTCAGGGTCCGAGTCAGATTTGTCCTGTGAGAAAGGAATTCTAGGTAAGGACAGGCCTGGCATATTTCAAGATTGCTGCTCAAGTACACGTTGTGCATCCAGGCCCCTATGAATGATATAGATTAAGCTTGGGGCTTAGACTATGCTTAGGCAAGCGATCAATCAACCATATGACTGAGACATGAAGCATCATGAAGCTAATTCTGGTGGCTACAAAAAGCGATGTGCTTCGGACATGGACACAAACAGCTGAGAAGAAGAGCCTCCCAAAAACCATCTCGAGATGGAGGGCTTGAAACAGCCATGAGAGTTCGGTTTTTGATGGTTTGTATTTTCTCTCTCAGTGGTAGCTTGGAGACTCCCAGCAGCTAGATGAATTCTGGACTCCATCAATGTGAACCTTGGTGGAGCGACCTCCCAAAATTCAACCTCCGGAAGAAAAACAGCAAAAACCTCAGAGATTCCGCCTGTCCCGTGCACCACTTTCGAACAGGTCCTTTCTAAGCCGCTCGCGACCCGTTGCGACCGCCGCCGGTCCCGACTGCAGCGGGTCCGGCAGGTCGAAGGCTCGGTCCTGTGCACCTTGGCCTCGGGCAGATGGCAAGGTGCGTGGAGAGACGTGCGCTGAGGGTGACGTGAGAGACCTGGGGTATCCTGGGGTCGGACATGGGCGGGACGACATGGGCGTTTCTTCGAGCTGGTGCAGTTCTTCGGTAAGGACCAGCCGAGGGTATGCAGTTCTTAGCCGGGAGCTCTTCGGAGCAACCGAGCCGGCAGAGGTGGGCAGCATCGACTGCTTGGGACGGGAGCCGGAAAAGGAGGCTGACGGGTTCTCCCTGTTTCAATACTGCACATGTTGAGGCTTTTCTTGAGGTATCTTGAGATATATGTGTTTGTTTTCCTTTCCAGCCTCTCTAGCACTTTCGTATTGGTTATTGGCAACTTCGCCATTTGGGATCAGTTCCAACCACTACGGATGCGAGAAATCAACGAGTTCAACTCCAGGCTCCTCGCCATCGGAGGGCACCATCTTTTTGGATTGCAATCCTCATTCCTTCAAGGACCGAAGGAAGTTCGCCTTGGAGGGGCTTGAAGACCGCTTGATAGATCCACCCCAAAAAGACAGATACAGTATAATCATATGTGTATACTAATATGTATATATATATGTATATAGTCTAAAACATATCAAATCAATAAAATAACACACACACATCACACACATCAATATCATCAATTCAGTTCATGTATAAATCAATTCAGTTCAATATCATCGCATATCATCGCATATCAGTTCATATTCATGAATTAGATGAATTCCAAATCAATTCAGTTTATGGAGCGGAGTCTTTGGTATCCAATTCAGTTGGAGTCTTTGGAGCTTTTTCTCGAGGAGATCTTGGAGTTTCTGCGGGAGCGGCGCCTCGACCGGGCCGCGCTTCCCAGCTTTAGCCCCAAGGCAGCGCGCCTGGCTGAAGCTCGGCCGGGTGGGTTTCCACACGTGGGCCGTGGGGCCGTTCACACATGTAAGCTGCGGGACAAGACCGACATACAGGTTGAGTGGTTTTTCTCTCTTTTTTTTTGTGAACTTGTGTGTTTCCTTTTGTTGTTGTGTGTTGTTGTCGGGGTAGGGGTGGGAATCCGGACGCATGCCATCCGGATTCCATGTTTGCTTTTGGAAGGGCAGGTCGTTGTAGACTCTCGAGATGCCGTGCGCATGGCCGTTGTAGACTCTGTGCGGAGCCGACGCACTCCGTGGACGATCTTCGGTGGGATGACGACGTCAAGACCGACGCAGGGCTGCGGGATCTTGTTTGGAGAGTATCTGACGAGATCCACCTTCTCAGAAGGGCGGATTGCAGAGATGATTCTTCTGCAAAGGCTTTCTGTCAAGTTCTGTCCGGTGTTAGCTTTTGCAGTGTATTTTTCCTGAGACCTTGTGTCTTATAGAGTAGATCAATATCATCCAAACCTAGCCAGTCAGATGCTACCTTGGTTTGGCAATAGAAAATTGCTCCCAGGTACACAGCCAGTCATTGTTATTGGTGTGCAATTCTTTTGGCAGAGCAGCTCTTTCATGAGTATATCATTCACATCCTATGAGATCGTGCTGCACGGCTGTGTACACACATGGCTCAGGACTACTTGGGTATCCCAGTCGCGCGTGCCTTGGCGTGTCGGCAAGTGAGCCTTGCACAGGACCGGTGGATCACGCAAGGGCTGTTGGGCGGTGACGGGGAAGTATCCACGGATCGCATCCTGAACAAGGGCTGGAAGAGGGTCTTTTCCAGACCACAGTGGTTTCTTCCTTGGGTTTGGAGTGTACGGTAGGCTACAAGTTTCTGGGCTAGTCCTTGACAGGCCAAGATCACCCACGAGTCACCCACAGCCAACAAACCAAATTATTCAGTTTGAGTCAGTTTGAGTATCAAGAAAGCAGATAGGCCATGATAGGCCCCAGGAAAGCTCCGCACGCTTAAGAAACGCTGCGCTGCTTCTTCCGTCGACCAGTGGGCTCAGGGGTGGTGGAAGACATCTACCTGATCGCAGAGTTTCAACGCGCAGGCGATAACAAAGTCGCACCGGGCTTCATGTTTGATGCCGCTCGGATGATTTCAGGAGAGAGGGAGCGACGAAGCTGCTTGAAGTTGAGGAGAGAACGAACACATTTCCCCGCCATGGTGGTTTCTGTTTGTTTCTGTGTTTCTTGAATCAAATTGAGTCAAACCTCCTTCCTTGGATGGATAGCTCTCGTAGAAGTTTTCGCTCTGCACACCGGTCACCGTTGAGGTGATGATCAGCGGACCTTTTGAGTGCCTGATCCACACCATCAGCTTCTCCATGGGCCGGGGCGGTAAGGCCTGGCTGGGTCACACACAATCACTGGGCGCGCTTTCGCATGACCAGCAGCCAAGAGTTGTCGAGTTCTTTTTGACTAGACGTCGTTGGCCTTGGAATCTGCGTACCGTTCCCTGTTGGATGTTCGGAAAAGGCGGCAGGTGCCTAAAGCACCCAAGTGACGCCTTGGATGCGTTGCGTTCCATCCATCAGTCCGGAGTCCCTACCGTCTTGAGCGCGTCTGCGCGTCTGTGCGTGCGCGGAAGGTGGACGGTGGCCACCAAGCAGGTGGTTCTTCCGAATAGACCGTCTCCCAATCTCCCCAAGCCCCACGTCCCAAGCATCCTCGTATTTCACACAGCACACATCCCGTCGTGGAGAGAAGAAATCCTGTACTGGACAAAATACAGGATCGATTCTCAGGCAGCCACAAGTCGAAAGTGGTCACTTGAGAGATGGACTGATGTTACTCGGCCCTTGGGATTTCGGGGCATCACGGAATCCCAACTCACGAAAGCTAGCTGTAGCTAGCCGGAGTCTGTCTTGCTTTAGCAAGGAGGGTGGGAGCCCAGGACCAACCCCTGGGCCACACGTCCCACTCAAATCGTCTCCAAATCCTCTAACCGTCTCCGCTCCTTTGGCCGCACTCCACTGGCCTCCGCCGGCAGGCCAGCCTCTTTGTCCGCTCGGGCAGCTGCTTGGAGGCGCAGACCGATCGTGAGGGATGGAAGGAGCTCTGCAGCTTACAGGTTGCTCGGTGACAAACGAATCCAGCGGGGAGTATTGGATGGGGGAGGACTGAATCACATGAAAAGCAGGGCATTAAATTTCAGAGAGTTTCTTATTTTTGTTTGGGGGTGGGGTGGGGGAGAGGTTGCTGACTCGGAATTTGTTCTTGGACGATGGACGGGGTGGAGACCAATCCTTCCACTGCGAGGTCTCCAAAACCAACCTATCCTCCCCCCGCCCGGATGCGGTTTTTGAGGGTACAAAGCTCCCTGTTATAGAGGGCTCGACCCCAGATGCTCGGAGTCGGGTGCCTGGTGCGAGTCGGGTGCCTCCGGGCCGCGCGGACGCGCAGCACCGGAGCAGACCGAGGTGGTCATGGGCCGCAATCGGATGGACCTGCCCCGCGGCGAGGCGGGAACTCCCGAAGCGGCCAGGGTGGGTCACCGTATCGGGATTCCGATGTGTGAAACGGGTGAGGCGGGTGACGCGGGTTCGACCATGGCATTTTGGGCGGGCCGAGGGGATCGGCAGGATCAGCGGGTTTCCACCATCCTGAAGACATATATATAGTTCTACAATCCATGTTTGCGGGGGGGCTCTTGGTCAAGAGTCGAATGACATCATCGTCCGAGCAGCGCGAGCAGCGCGTGGAATGCGCGTGCCAGGCGAAGACGATCGGTCCCAACGGAGTGCTGGGCGTCTACCTTTGCTTCTCTGAAGGATTGGATCTGGATTTGAATGGATTCGACCGTTCAAACATCTCGGCTCGCATGGGGAGTGACCAAATCTCGCAATTCTGATTTCGGTGGATCGGATCAGTGTCAGTGATGGGTCTATCTCAGTCATAATGAGTCGACATCTCAGTCAATTCACCTACTTCATCTGCACCAGGTGCGGATGACCTCCTCTACTCCGACAAGCCCTCGCAAGCGAGCCACAAGGCGACTAGAGTCGGGGGTTCTGAAGTCGGATGGAGGGGAGCTGGCGGATGGGAGGAGATGAACTATTACAAGAAACATGTTTTCTTGGTTTTAGATAAGTTATCTTTCTCATGAAAGGGTTTTAACAGTTAACAACTGTCAACATCTGTCAACGTGCTGCAAAATAAGAGATGCACTATGATCTACTTTATTCATTAACTATCATACATATCATCAGATTGATGATATCCTCAGTTTTGTTTGGTCAACAGCCTACTCTTTCCGATTCTATTGTCATCTATTTCTATTACCATCCCAAAGAGCTTGCAGTTCTATCGAATTGCAATGTGATGAGTTTGGCGGCATGTCAGCGGAACTCATGCAGAGTCCACTGAGCAACAGCTGCTGTCGCTGAGTGCAACAGCTGCTTTCGCTCTCAAACCTTGTGAATAGCTGGGATATGTTCCATGAGAAGCCAGTGGACTCCCCAAGCAGATTCCAGTATTCCAGAGTGTTCCATTTTTCGTTCTATCGTTTTCCTATCGTTTCCCCGGACCCGACCATTCCCATCGCAGCGCCCCTTTCGCCCCGAAAGGCGCCCCGTTTCGGACCGAACCAGGTGCTGTCGGAGCATCGGACCTTGAGCGATGGGATGAAGTGGGGGGCGCATGGCGCCGCGAGCGCGCTATCGCAGAGTGACGAATGGCGCCGGGGTGACGAATGGTCTTCCTTTTTGCGCACTGTTTCGTGGTAAGTGCTAAGCAGAGGTGGAAATGGCAAGCAGTGGGGGTTTGCAATATTTAGCAAAGGAATGGACTTGATGGGGATTCAATCAGTCATGATATCACTGACTCAAACCAGTGGATTCTCTTCCTGCGAAACTGGAAGAGGGTTGGTATGTTCAATTAGCTTCTTTCCGGGGAAGAGGTGACCCCCTTGCGCGGACAGAATGGTTTCTTGATGTCTGAAGAGTTGAGCGCCCCAACCTCGGACGGGGTTCGCTCGCAAAGCCGCCTGACGCTGCCCAGCTGCGCTGCAAGGCTCGGGTCTGAGACCCTGTTGATGTTGCCGCCACCGGCATCACCGGTGTATTTTTTGCATCGATTTACACATGTGAAAGCCTGGGAGTTCAGTTATCTTATAATATCTTGTAATCACCGCTTAGGGGGCTGAGGGGGCTGACATGGGCACTCAGGGATTATAGCTTCGAACAAATTTCGACATCCATTTCCCCATGAACAGGTCGATTGGCTGGGGGGCTTTGTTTCAACTGCTTAACATATTCCCAAGTTATCCCAGTTTCAGATGCGGGATACATAATTCCCTCATAAAAACCAATGGACGCTTCCAATGACATGAACCCCTAAAAGAATCGATCTTCCTTTGCAAGCTAGTGGTTTGTCGGTTAACTTAAAGCTTTGGCCATTCTGCTAACTGCTACGACTTCTCGCGCCCTCCAAAGGCGCCGTCCTCGTGCCATGTGCCTCTGAGGTTAGTCTCGCTGAAGGGACGCGTGGCAGGCGGGTCTTCCAAGCCCAATTGCGCCCTCCCTCAGGAAAAAAGAAAAAACTCCATCGAGTCCGTTGGAATTCATGGAGAATGTTCACCTCCGGCTGCAGCGAATGGCAGGGCTCCCACAGGCATAGCTCCACTGTTCCTCACGCCACTTTAAAGTTTATTCTAATACCTATTTTAATTCTGGTTTCTGCTAGCTTCTTGTTACTACTAGTAAGGCACTTGTTACCAGTAGCGATGCACTTGTTACTAGTAGCACTTATTGTTACAGTAGCGAGGAGCCGCTCCAAAAAGGCGCCCGTCCTCGCCAGCCGCAGGGACCAATTCCTTCTCCTTCGGAGCGCACCGGGATGATCGACGCTCAACCGACGCCGATTGGTTTTGGGGGGAAGGTCGTTGAGATCCCTGAAAGAATCCATTTAATATGGGTAATATGGGTGTTTTACGCTGAGAAATTCAGGGCAACCACTCCAGAGAAATTTTGATAAGTGACATGCGAAGTCACAAATCTAAGTATACGTCGTCGTCGTATGGGACCAACAGATGCTTAGAAGTTCTGGCAAGGGCCCCGGCAAGGGCTGGCTTTGTTGTTCATCACCAATGAAGTGTTTGGCTTCAACTGAACCATCTGACAATCCTTTTGTTGTTCAAATATTGGCTCGCATCATCAACCTTTGCATGGCCCTTTGGATTTCTTTCGGATTGCACTGACCCGTTTGCAGTCTGCATGTCCGGATGTCCCCGAGGATTCTTCGTGGGGAGCATCGAGTACTCCCTGGAGTAAACGGATCTTCACGGCAGCTCAGTGGCGCGACGCATCTCCTGGCTGCGCAGCCACGCGCCGCGCGGGCGCCACGTGCTGCGCAGCGTTGCGTCTCAAGAGCCTCGTGGCGAAAGACGTGGTCTCGGTCCTCTCGGTTCGCCCAATGGAGTGGGAGTTGACCGGAGAAAAGACGCTGGAGCGGAAAAGGTGCGAAGTTGTGGACAGCTGGGGAAGGAGAGCTGGGGAATCTATGGCGCCCAAGATTCAGGGATGGATGGTTCATGATGGTTCCATCAGTTTCAGTGTACTGAGGAGCAGGAGATCAGGTTTACGGAGCTTCACTTCAGTGGAATGGAAAGAAGACATCCACCTGCGATGGCCTGATTACCATGTGTCATCATCTGGAGACCACAGCTACCAGCTAACCAACAATGATTTTTTTAAAGCAAAAGCCCATCCAAGAAGCTTGGCCAAAGACTCCAAGGAAGTGTTCTGGTGGTCTGGATCCACATGAATATGTTCAACTTTGCCTTCCTTCGTATCGTGACCATTCTTCCTTGTTCGGCTCTCGTTTGCTCCACCCAAACCTGTTCGCCGAGGGTCAGCGAACTGCAGCGTTTGATCTATCCGGACAGGCGCGACGACCGGGTCGACTGTCGACGACGACCGGGCTGAGGATAGCGGCTGAGGATGTGAGGATGTGAGGCCTCGGCGGCCCTAGATGCATAGTAGGCTGTTGATGAATAAAAGCCCGAGGTGTCATATTATTAAAGCCCGTCTGGTCAGAGGAGTCTCATCAATCAACAGTCTACGAGATGAGCAGATGGGCCATTCTATGACAGAAAGGGACTCGATTGGGTGAGCTTCAGACTATGCCCATCCAATCTTGAGTTTGTACGAAGTTGCTTCAGATTCCTTCAAAATTACCTGGAATACCAAACCAACACCATATGATTGACACCTGTATCTTGGAATACATCACTTCAAGTGGTTTAATCTTCGTTTCTCAACACCCAAAGGACATTACAAAGGATGAACTGCACAGCAACTCCCCGGTTCTGCAAACACAGACCTGGACGCCCTGAGACCGTCACAGACCTGGAAGGAACCGGTTTCTGCACGTCTTCGGGCGTTTGCGTGTTCGTGAAAAAGGTTGGATGGATGAAGCTGATCCCTTCTGAAAGCACCGAAAGGTGAACCAAAACCTCCTTCCACTTCCCGTCCTTTTTTTCATTTCGAAAGCGCGACGAATCCCGGTCCCAAACGGACACCTCAGCGGATTCGAAGTCGAACACCTTCGAACGCCGCACCAGGTTTAGCCTCGCGCAGTTCCCCGAGGAAACCTGTGGTTTGCGCGCGCGTGGGAGAGTCCGTCGTCGGGAGAGTCGGTGGTTTCGATCGGATCCGGTGAACCATCGGAGTTGGTCCTCCGAGTCCAGCAGAGGACCAAGCCAAGACATGGCAAGTATTGGAGCGGAGTCTGAAAGATCAAGGTCTGGCATGTTTGAAAGTATTGGACCTGAAGATATTGTATCAAAAGTATTGGAGTCTGAAAGTACTACTTTTTTGGAGTGGAGGTCTTGGCATGTGGCTTCTGTCTGAAGATCAAGGTGCCGACTTGGAAGTGAAACGAAAGCATGAAAATTGGTCCGCCCGTAGAGAGGCTCTCTGAGCCTCCCCTGAGCGACGCGTTCATTTTGGGGGTTCAAGGGCTTTATGTCCTACTCAAGGCATGATGAGGCACAGTGATGATTGATTTGCCAATTGAATCAAATTGAGAAGTGGGGTGCAGGAACACCTGCAGAAGCTGGGGTGGCCCCTTCAGCAGAGGAATATTATGATTTACAATTTTACACTCCCCTGATTAGTTCACTTTCATCACTAGAAAGAGAAGGGAGAGCCCCCTCTAGATCCCACTTCTGAAGCTGCGGATCAGACATGTGCATGCCACCGAGGGGGTTGAGTTGATTTACCAGCCCTACAGGCCCTTGACTAGGTTTGCTCTGCACCCAACCCTTCCTGCGACCTCCAAGCTAGCAATGAAACAGGGTCGGAGTGCCCCCTCCACCATCCCAAACAGGGTCGGAGTGCCTTCTCAACCATCCCATGCCCTCATTCTGGCCTCCAAACCCAAAATAAGGGATGTCCACCGCAGACGAACCAGCTTTTGCTCGGGTCGCCTTCTGGCCAGGCGGACAAAGCTAAAGGCCGGCACGGTTTCTTCAGCGTCCCATGGGATGGGTGGCACTTTCAGGAGCTGAAACACCCGTCCCAAGGTTTTTTTATGGCTCAAGGTCGTAAGCACCTCAATGAGGGGATCTTTTCATTTGTTGGTCCTTTTGCGATAGGTGGAATTGCTGCCAAAACACCAGATGGTCTCCACCTGGTGGTCGTCTCGGAGACCGTCCGAACCGACGGGCGCACATCAGGTGCCCTCACCGAGGACGAGACCGATCATGAGGACGAGACCCGGCAAAAACGTGGAAACCCTTTGATCAGAGAGCGAAGGTAAGCCAGACATGACTAGCAGACGTATATGATGAAATCATGATGAACTCATCATAACTACCCTGGAGTGAGTGAAAACCATGCTGTTTGGTATGGGGATTGAACATGGTCATCCGGACCGCACCGGTTTCGGAGAAGGGGCGCCCGATGGAGCCCGAGCCCCATCCCAGTGGCTGTAGAGCTGTAGAGCTGTTGCTTCTAGCTTGGCATGCATCCAGTTGCATGCTATATCAGCTATATAGGCTATATCAGCCTCTGCTCATGCTTCGTGGCTGCTTTGTGTGCAGGAGGCGAGCCAATCACGGAAGGAGCCCTTCTCCGAACCTGAGGAGGACGGTCTCTCTAAACCGGCCGAGCCGAGCCAGCCGTTGGAGGCCGAAGTGAAGATCGTTGAGTTGGAGATCCAAAGGTTCCTGGTCTCTTGGAATCTATGGCAGCAACCAAGATTTATTGGAAGCTAGGCTGTGGATAATCTATTTATCCACATCTATAGATGATCTTAGATGTGGACCTTTTTCAAGGTCTTATGGCACGTGTCTAGTGTGGGTTGCCCTCAGTAAATCGGCCAAAAGTGTCTCATGTTCTAAAAAGGATCTGACTTTCACCGGCATAATGTGTCATCAGTGTGTCATCACCCTTTTGAAGAGGTACCTGGTGCTGTTTCACCCTGCTGGGGGAGCTTTGTTCGGCGGCATTCCACTTGGGAAGTTTGTATCAACAGTTGTTGACAGGTACACAGGGGTCCTGTGAGACTGTGGGAGCCTTCCTCGTTTTGAAGCACACGCGAAACAACACAGATACACAGATCCATGTGAGTTAGGTGAACAGAAATGTATTCAGACACGCGTTTTTCAGGTTCCCCTTGTTGTATCATGTTCCAGCCCAGAACGCAGAACACATGGCTCGCTCCCCTGGCAGATTCATGTAGCTCCCCTGGCAGCTGACAGGACGCGGCGACCGCCTCGGCCAAGTTCAAAGACCTCTCCGCCGCCCAGCAGGCGTCGCGCGGGCGTCGCCACGGCTGACGAGCGGCCCCCAATCGGCTGGGCGTAGACTGTAGTCATGTCAGTCAAGTTGGTCTCAACATGCAGATGGGAGAACCTGCTTCAAGATGACGGATTTCATCTCCTCGAGACGTTCAGACGTTCTTTTTCGTGTCGAGTTGAAGGGAAGGTCAGATGACTTGGTCTTCACACCGCGGGGATCGGCTCCACGCGTTGGGTCTTTCGACTTGGTCAAGCAGGAAGTCATCCACGCCTATCGCACTGGAGCCTTGGAAAGTCAATCCTTGGTCTCAACCAGCCAGTTTGATGGTGAACCTGTTTGATGCACCCGAAAGCCACAGCTGCATAGAAGAATGTGCCTGCCTCTACCCCAAAAAAGCAAGGTGTAGCTGTAGCTACCGTAGATGGAAGTATTCAAACACCCCCAAAACTCCAAGCTAGCGAGACTAGCGAGGCGTGTTTGGGCGAATGGATGAATCAAATCAAACCCTGATGACATTAACGGCAGAAACGTGTATTCAACATTGAACTTTGGTCACCGTCGGTAAAGCATTATCACTCTTGAGATGTCGGCCTGCAAATTCACCATTATGTATATAAATACACCCAAAGTGTAACTGATGATTCCTCAGCGCTTGGTGAACGTTCTCCACGAACGGTGGCCAGTCCTCGGGCTACGCGCCGACCACACCGGCGAAGACGCCGGCACCCGAGGATGAGCCGAGGGTGGGAGGAGTGTTCGGTGGGTTCCAGAGTCGACTGTGAAATCGATGTTATGACGTCCACCCAGCAGAACATATTGAACATCTGAATCAGCAACCTTTCAACTCCTGTGCAGCTGGGGATTTTCAACACCGCCAGGATAGCGCAGCTTACCAGCATGACAGCGCGCCGGCCATCGACAGTGCCACCTTCGCCGAGGAGGCGGAACAGGGCATCCGACTTCTGCAAAGGGCATCCAGTAAGTGGAATCAAGTGAGGGCATCCAGTGAGGGATGCCCAGCAAAAGGGCATGATGTCCCAAAGTCAAGGGAATCCAGTACTTATTGGGACACCATGTATATCCAAAGCAGCAGGACTTAACATTTAGAAGGATGAAAGACAGCGCCACTGCGTGAAACGCGTGCAATGATGTTATGCACGCTCTCAAATCAACATGCTCTGGTTAGGCAGTGCCTTTCTTGATGGAGCTCACCATGCAGGAATTCCCAAAGGTGTGGGGTGCTTGCCTGGGTGGAGTCCTTGGTGTGGTGTCTGAAGAGGGATGGCGATGAGCGAAGGGCTGGTAGTGCCATGACACTGCTTTGATTTCATGATGGGAGTGTGAGGTGTCATGATTTCATATGATTTCGACAAGATCAGACTCTTTTGGGCAGTCGTTGTGGTGAGTTGGGTGTGGCCAACATGAACCCAATGAAGACACCTTCGTGAAATCCGGTCGCGCCTGGGTGACGAAGATGCTCCACGGGATGATCAACCCATTGTACCAATGGATGATTGATTTGCTTCGGGACGGTTTTGCATAAGCATAAACAGTCAGTAGGGTTCACGGTGAGGGAACCAAACAGGGAGGCCAGAGCATCCCCAAAGTCAGACTCTTCCAACAAATTGTTTGAAAGTGGATGGCTTCAAGATGCTTTAAGCCATATTTGCTTCTCATACGATCCTTTTTTGGCGCCACACAAGCCAGATTGTCTCACCGAGTCAATCTTCAGTCGATGCGAACGAGCAACACCCAGACCTTGGGAAGTCCTGGATCGATTAGATCACCCAATGATTCAGATGCAACAAGAAGCTACTAGGTGGAGGCCATCGCTATTCGGTTGGAGGCCATGAAACACTAGTAGCAAGGACGCTATTGGGTTGCAGGCCATCGCTACTAGCAACTAGAAGACCTATGGGTTTCAGATGGAAACTCCTCAAGGATCCCTCCAAAGGATCACCACGTGCTGACCTGGTCAAAGATGGTCAAAGGGCATCTCATTAGATCTGATCGCACACACACACACACCAAGAAAACAAGGAAACACTAAACAAACACTAAGAAGCATAGTTTCAGTATAGAACTGTTAGCACATTCTTGTTTCTACTAGCAAACCTTGTTACAAGGTAAGGCCACGTTCGCCCCCGTTCGTCGCGTCGTCCGCTGCTCGATAGCGGGCATCCCGCCCCGATCGTCGCGTTGTATACGGAAGACCAAGAAACACGGCTCACCTCTACACGGCTCGGAGGAACGACGGACACCGGGGTCTCGGAGAGTCGGTCACTCCGGAGATCGGCTCCGGGAACGGTTCGTCACGGCCAGGGCGACGAGGAGGCCACCGGAGAACGGTCCAGGGAAGGAGGGTGGATGGATCCTGTTTGTTCTCTATCCTATCTACTAGGTATCAATATCCTCCTTAGATCCTACTGTAGGGGTGGATATACTTTGGGAGTCCAAGACTATTTTCTTAATAGTCTTTAGCTGACCCGGCTGATCCGAAAAGGAATTTCCTTTACTTTTGGTGTCCCACGAATAGTCTTTGGACTTCTATGATATCAATAGAGCTCAATAGACTTCACTCTGAAATCGAAAGCATGGTGATGTAGTTTGCTCTTTCTTTGTTGCCTTCAGTGCATTTCAAGAGATGGATCCTCCAAAGAGCCAGAACCCGTGGCAGGAGCCGGCAGAGCCGGCGGCCAAGCGCCTCAAGACGGACGACACCTGACGGAGCGGTCCAGAGAGCGGAGGTCGGAACCAGGTGAAGCTAGTGGCTTTTCTCTTCTCTGGTTTCTGAAAGCTCTGGGATATGTGTGTTTTTAATAGTTGCACATGTTCTTCTTCTTTTCTCCTGCATGCGGATTTCATGCAGTGAAGGTCAGTTTTCGTCAGCCGGGTTCACTGCCACTCTCAGCTCTAGGAACCTGATCTTTGATCAAAAAAGGCTGCAGTTTGAACAGCTCAACATTTCAGATTCATGATCACATGAGCTGCTCTTCTGTGCAGGACTTTGCACTCTATGCTGCCTGCACTGACTGGCACCAGGGTTCCGAGCGAAAAGATCCGGGCATCAGCGCTTTGCAGCGGCATTGCTGTTTCAAGCTGCCATGGGTGCTCTAAGTAAACGCCTGTAGCTGTTAGATGGCAAAAAGTCTTTGACATTCATCTCAAACTTTTGGTTGCTGCTGCCATACCACTGATTCCTTTATCTTATTTATATATCAATTATATATATATATGATATATATATATATATGGTACCCCCCCCCCAAATGTCCATATTTTTTAAAATTTTACTGGTATTTGCAGGGATTGTGGGGGTACCATATATATATATATAATCCTAAAATCCTAAGATTTCAGCACTAGTCGGAAATGGCGGACGTAAACTTTCCAGTACTTAGAGAAAATTTTAAAATATTTTAAAAATTTCTCAGAAGTAAGAAGCAAGAAGTAAGATTCTCTAGGAGAGTTCTGTGCAATCTTACTTCTTACTTCTTACTTATGAGAAAATTTTAGAATATTTTAAAATTTTCTGGAATTCTCTAAGTATTGAAGTCTTCACCGTTTCTGGAGCAGCCGGTTAATCTCAAAGGCATTTTTGCATCCAAAAACCGGCTTCATGGCATTCCATGTGTCTGGGGAAGTCACGGTCTCCAATGACAAGGCGAACCTGGCCCTTAATTTGAAGGACCCAGTGACATACCTGCTCGACATGAAAGCCTTGTGGGATCGCATTAGCACCGGAGAAATTGGTGTGCATCCCACTCGGCAACCGTTGGACAGAACCACTTTGGGAACTTTGATTCACAATATTCAGCGGTCTGCCGACTTGAAGCCTACTGGCCTCAAGGGAGCATGGAACCCAAAAGCTGAAGAGACCCTCATCCGCATCTTGGCGTCTCCGAAACGCTGCCGTGGAGGGGGACAAGCATCAGCACTTGCATTGCCTCCTGTTCATCCACAAACACCTCAACAAGCACCTCAACTCATCTAAAAAAGTGTTTTTGTCGTCTTTGCATGGTTTCCACTCAACCTCATATGGGTAGACCGCATCGCATGCCTAAGGCCATCTGCAATCAACATCATTCTGGCTCTTCTTCTACGTCTTCCTCAGAGTCATCTTCCGATTCTTCGGGGACCAGGGACGGCGGAGGATGCAGAGATCAAGGGTGGTGTGGCTGATGATGAGGATGTGAAGGGTGAGGAGTCTGAGGGTGAGGAGTCTGAGATGGAAGATGTTGAGGAGTCTGAGATGGAAGATGTTGAGGATGAGGTGGGTGCGTGTGTGGAAGTCAAGGGTGGCGATGCGAACCAGGAGGAATCCGTCTCAGGGGAGACTATGCAAGGGGACTGGCTCGAAGCAGCTGTCTTCAAGCATCCAAAGTTCAAGCAGATGTCCTTTGACTTTGATGACCTTGGTCAGTCTCTGCAGAGGCTTGGAAGAGATTCGCAGAAAGTTTGTGGAGAAAAAGGAAAAGCACATTGTCTTCGGGAAGTCGAAGACTTGGATTGATGTGGAGGGTGACGAAGTCACATTTGACAAGCATGACATCTCCCAAGATCCAGTCCTCGGCCATGAAGTCAAAGGAGACAAGTGCGTTCTATGGGAACAATGGTGCGGCCTTGTGCAGAGAGGAAAGCCAGAGACGCTCTTCATGACTCGTCTCAAGCCTGGCCTCACAGTCCGTCGTGCTCCAGGTCCTGGTCCCATCAGCAAGCATGACTGGACACCCTTGGGCAAAAAGCACTTGGCTGGCAAGAACATCATCTTCCACACGGATTCTGCGCGTGCCTACAAGCTGAAGCTTCGTGATGTACTTCATGATAGCGTTGTACATAAGAAAAAGCGCGTCAAGAAAAGTGGCAAGTGGGTTTGGACCAAGCCTACGTTTGTCAAGGTTGTGACGCATAAATTGCCAGGAGGCAAGAAAATTAAAGTAAAGGCAGGCACTCAACACATTGACCGGTGTTGGAAGTTTATCAAGGAGCGTGTGTGTAAAGGCACCCACTCCCGTGCAGGCCTGAAGCGTTTGCATTTCAAAATCCGGGCGGCCCAGTACGAGTACTGGTACCGTGGGTCTGATATGTGGAAATGCACCGGGGATCTCGTGCAGGACCACATGTCAGGAATTGTTGCCCAGCCGTGACCGCATCTGTGCTGAACAAAAAGGCCCTTGCCATGCATATCCCAGGTTGCTGGAAAATCTTCACACAGCATCACTCAACAAAAAAACTTTCTGCAACTTCCCCCCATCTTGAAGGCATGCTGGGCCCCACATGAACAACTATATCTCCAAGATCCCTTCTGCTTGCTGGGAAACATTCAACAAAGAGGCATTCTGGAATCTTCTTGGCACCTCCAAAATCAAAAGGTTAAATCCAAATACCAAACTTTTGCAAAACTCTGGCTGCTAGTTCCCAAATGAACAACTTATCTCAAGATTCCTATCGCCCAATGCACAATATGGTGACATGCAATTCAACAGACCAGACAAAAAAACCCTCAAAATGTACCCCCCAAAAATGAATGCCAAAATATCATCAAACCACTGTAAATACCAGTGCAAGCCGAAAAAATGTGGATTTTTTTTTGGGGGGGGTAGCTATATGGTACCTATATATATGCCATATCCGGATCCGCTTCACATTTTGTAGAGGGTGTTTTTTAAGGTTCAACCCAACCAGCCATTTTGTAGACAAAAAAGTGGCGTCAAGGCCCAACATTCTGCAGTTTTTTTAAATGCATTTAACATATCATTTGAGAAAGACCGTGTTGAACGTCTCATTGTGTAGTGATATTTGGGCTATTTGAACTCTAGTCATCCACAACATTTTGTAGAGGATGTTCTGGAAGCATTTTGTAGAGTTGTTTGGATATGTTTGGATGTTTTTGGCCTATTTGAACCTATTTGAATCAAATGTTGGAAAAGCATGGGAGCGCTCCAAGTCCATCCTTAGTCCATCCTTACTTAAGGCACAGATTATCAGCTGCAAAGCAGAGATGCAAAAACGCATTATTTATCATTTTTCTTGAAATTATATGACCATACATGCAAATATAACCATATTTATTTGATTAACTTTGGGCCGTGCATTCGATTCATATTCTTTTGACTCAGTATGATACAAAATGACCCCTTGACTACTGAGATGTGTGGGGCATCCCATCATTTGGTAGACAAATCACGCGCGCACGTGTTCTACAAAATGACGTCGTCCGCCTCATTTTGTAGATGTTTGTTGTTTTTTAGTATGATTTTGTAAGTGTTGTTTTCTTTTTCGGAGGTGCCATTTTGTAGAGCCAATGTTTTTTACACAATGACTGTCACGCCCCCTCACCCGAAATTAGAACGGGGATCTAATGAGTTCTGTCATATTCAGATGAAGCGAGGGTAGATGTCGGTGGCAAAGGTTCGAGGGTTTCGCAGTTTCCTCCATGTTCCGACGAAGTCGGATGACCATGGGATCACGAAATCCTGCAGAAAACGTTTGGGACGTAACCGTCAGCGGCACCGTAATCCACCACTTCCACTGGTAGTTGAACCCTTTCATCAGCATCCTGAACATGTTGAGGGACACTTTCCATCAACACCCTGAGTCCACCGTCCCGGGTTCTTCGAGCAGAACCGCGAAAACGTCAACAGAGACGGAGCCGGAGCAGACGCCCCGCAGGGTGGAGTTGAAGCTGGGCCATGGAGTGCCAGGCTCCATTGGCACCTCAAGGCTTCAAGCCTTGAAGCAGAGCCTCTTCGAGGTCCGGCGAACCGGACGGAAACAGAGGAAACAACATCTCGGGCCTGTCGGATTGGAGATGGGCCAGTTGGATTAAGGCGTTGATCTCACTTGTGTTAAAAGACTGCCCTTCGAATCACTCCACTTGCATGTGGAACACCTGCTGCTTGTAGAGGTCAGTTGCCTTCCCAGGAGCCATGCCATGCACTTGCTTCCATGGCTCGTGAGTGTAGTATGTGCAGTGTTGTTGTTGTTGTTGTTGCTGCTGCTGCTGCTGTTGCTGTTGCTGTTGCTGTTGCTGCCGCTGCTGTTGTTGTTGTTGTCGTTGTTGTTGTCGTAGTACAACAAGACTGGATCCACCACCATGGGGTCCCTGCTATCGACCGCCTTCTCAGCTCGGTGGACCTGCAGCTGTACGGCTTCGTTTCACCCGCTCGAAGAGCGTGTTAGCTATGAAGCTGGGATTTCAGCAACGAAGTGTAGTATAGGATGTTAGAAGATTTGTTCATGGGTCATAGGGCAACAACAGTGAGGAATGGCCATTTTGATTGAAGTATTGTATTGTTTTCATGGTTTGTTTGAAATATGCGTTTTGAGCATGAGGGCTGTGCGCACAGAAGGAGTAAACAAATCTCAAGTGTATCAGTGTATCAATCTATGCATTCACGTTTGGTGTTCCTTCAAAGCCAATTGAGTGGAATCGGGGCAGATTTGAGTGTGGTCCCTTTCGTGAAGCTATCGTTTTCAGTCACCCGAAGTTCATGAGCCCGTTTCGTTGCCCCACGGAGGGTTGACCCTTGTTGGGGAGAACAGAGACAGATGTTGGATGTGAGCCATATGGCCATATCATCTAAATCCCACGTGTCATGTCCACTGCATGGCCGCTGACCGGGCGGATGCTGCACCTTTGGCTGCTGGTACTATGTGATGGCCTTAGTCAGACGTCATGTCGCGCCTGTCGGAGAAAGAACACGAGTTTGGCGGTTCTGTTGGATCTGGAAGTGTGAGCTGAAGACTTACTTTGCAGAACTGAAGTTGAACACAACATGAAAGACTTTGGCTGCTGAGGGTATTATCTGAAAGGTGAGCCGACATGGTCCCTATAGGTTTCCTACGGGTCCAGTCTGACCCAGGCCCAGATGCCCTGGTGCTGAAAACTTTCTAATAGCTTCTTGTTACTAGTAGTAAGGCACTTGTTACTAGTAGCGATGCACTTGTTACTAGTAGCTTCTTGTTACTACTAGTGTTTTTGTATCATCAACTTCCTGACCAACTTCGGGTCTCCTTATCCCCCCGCTTTTCTCCTCTGCGCGGGGCGAGACCCCCGACGCTTCCGACGCTTCCCACCGAGTGGCTCACCGGTGAGGCGGGGTGAGGCCCGGAAGCAGCCAGGACAGTCGTGGTTCAACGCATGGATTTCGGCGTCGGGCGGGCGGGCGGGACGGCAAATTTTTTAAAAGACAAGTTCTTTGTTTTTTTATAGATGTTTTATAGTTAAGGTTAAACAACAATACTAAAAACAACACATTCTGGTCACACTGAGGTCGCGGACACGAAGAGGTCAAATTGAAGTCTCGGGTCAAACTTTGTGGTGGTTCCATGTTCTTGAACATTGGGTATAGCTTCAGCCAAGAACTTGCCCAACTTTCTCTCTCTCTCTCTCTCTGTGATCATGTTGGGCTCTTCATAGGCTCACAGAATACAACTCTGCTGGAAGTGCGACATGTACTGGTATACACACTAGTGGAATGCATCAAAGCTTTGCGACGTGAAGGGGCTACATAGTACATGGCGTAGCGCCGTGTTGGACACGGAAGATCTTCACTATCTTCTAATATGTCAAAAGCCACAGAGAAAACTGCTCTTGGCCCCAAACAGAATGAGTGTGATTCTAGGAAGACCAACAACCTTTTACAACTTGATGAAGTCCCCTTCTATTTGGAGTGACTCGGAGTATTTTCTGGTGTCGAGCCAGAGAAGCATCTCAGATCTTAAAGAACCGGTATCAGTTCCGACTGCGGATTTCCGGCACCAGTTCCTGATTTCGTGAAAACTCACAAAGATAGGCACTCAAGGAGATAGGCACTCGGATTCACTTCTTGAACATTTCGTGGTATTCCTGATGTCTTTCAAGAAGACCACGGCACTTTGGGGAACCCATGGGAACCCAATTTCGGCGTGGGAAGACTCGGCGAAGAACAGGACGCAGTGGGCTGGTCGCCAGTGAAGAACATGCCACAGTGCCCTGGCAATTCGTTGATGTAGGGAGGTGTCCCAACACCTTTCTTGTTTCTATGTGCACGATTCCCTTCTCCTACGCAACGAAAAATTGAATCACACGTCCTTTGATGTAAGGACTAATCAAAGGCTTGATGAACCTTCCCATGTTGTACACTGGAACGACTGAGACTCCCTGAAACCAACGGCTTCCAGCAAACACCCAGGGCTCCGGCTCCACGGGCCGATTCAGCCGGTATTCGGAACACTTCCTGTCCGGGTGCGGACTTACCCTGGGAGTTCCACGGAGTGTAGTTCTCTTCAAAGATGGAAAGAGGTGCAATTTTCACTGGTCTCAAGTGCGATGAGCTGGCCATCGTTCATAATTCGTTCTTCACTCAACTTCATCGATGATGGACATTTTCGTGACATAAGCCCCGTGCTCCGAAACTCCGAAGAACTTCATGTTCATCCGCAGCTCATCCCGGGTGGCTGAGCTCCACCGATCTGAGAATGGCGTCACTAAGGCGCGACACCGAGCCGTACTTCGCATTGATCCGTACGGACTACAAGAGCCCTGGCGGAGAGGACGAGGGGAGCCGGGGTTTTGGAGTTTTGGTGACCAAAGAGATGGGAAGGATACAGATTTATCAGTGTCTTAGCCATAGCAGCGGCGACAGTAGACCTTGACCTTGAAGAAGAAAGGCCGTGAAGACGAGGCGTCCGTTTTGCAATTCTGGGGATCATGAAGATCATGAACTCTTTCTTGGGGAGAGCTGTCCATAATGATCATAATGCTTAGCCTCATCGTGGCATTGACAAGTGTTCAGACGTCTCCGTTCCGAAAAGCTTCACACCCCGATGCAGAGAGCTTCTGCACATCGCTGGGACGCACGATGAGAATCCATGACAACACCTGAAATAAGACGTGACAACATTTGGAAATATAGATTCGACCTCAACCACGACGTGTCATTTTGGGGTCGACCAGGTTTGGGGTCTTCGTTTCATCGTTTCCGCTGCGTGGCTCGGTTGATCGCCCAGGTTTCGTCTTCAAAATGACTACGTGCCACGGCTTTCGAAGAAAAGCTGTTTCTGTCTTTTTGTGAAACGGAAACAAGAACTGATGGCTCAGCCAGCTTCAAGAATTCATACAGCCATCAACTATGCCGAGAATTGAAAGTTTTGAAGAACAATGAACTATGTGTTGTTTGTACTATTTTGTACTAATAACATATTGTCATATTGTGTACTATTTTCGTACTAGTTACTAGTTTGTACTCATTGGCTTTGGGTGCATTTGGGCGCCCAGGGTGAAGGCGACCGGTGACAGACAGACTGTCAAGTGACCCAATCGGAAGACAATTTTTCTTGTTACATGTTTTTTGTGCGACTTCCGGCTATGTGTTGAATGTATGACATATTCCCTACAGGTCTCATGGACCTGATTTGACATGCAAAGCCAGTACTCAATGAGGCCAAGGACCAGGTTTAACTTGGCCATACTTGGCCCTTGGACTTGTAGGGTATTGATCCTATTGCAACAGTGAAATGCCTTATCAGCGGTCAGTGTTTGCCGAATCAGACCCAATCATCTAACCATCGTCACCCTCTATGTCCCTTTCCACGATTGATCAACCGGACCAAGTGATGTGGAGGAATGGAGTGTTGACTCTGCATCCAATCCCATGGTTTTGGGTGTTGCCTTGTGGAACTGACTCGATCTCTTTATGTCTATTTTCACAATCTCAAAAGTTCGTCGGATCTCTTTGGATATCGCCATGGGTCGAAGTTATTTGGAATCAGTTGGACCTCTCCTGTCTTGATCGTCCCAGGTGGCTTACAGCATCGACATCTTGATCGATCCCTGTCTGGAAGCCCGGACACCGTGGTGTTTAGCATCCATTGGCCTTGGGAGAACAAGAGGCCTTCGAGGCCTCCGAGTGGAACTTCTCTGCCATGGCACCCGACGGAATCATCACTGCTTACAGCAGATGGCGCAGATGGCTTGTCCAAAAGTAGGAATCTGAAGAGTTGTTTTTTAGACATCTTTTTCCAGGATCCCCACTCCCATCCCGGTTTCGGGTGATGGAACCTGTCTAACGTAGAATTTTGCCACGAGTCCTGTTTCAAAGTGCTGGTTGTGTGAAGGATGAGCGCGAGCCACCGGTGAACTGTACTATAGAGACTATATAGATTAGTACTGTGATTCAATAGCAATATGACCGAGGTGCAAGACAGTAAGAACAACATCCACCTAGGGGGTTTTCTTTTTTCCCTGCCCTTATCATTAAAGCATCTTGGATTGGTTCCCCATAAGCATGCAGGGCATCCGTCTAGATCCTCTCACGATGCTTTATGGATGAACCATGAGGAACCGATGGTCGGTCGTTGGGAAGGACCAAAACCAGAAGCACAAACCACCTCCACACGTTGCCAAGAACCACCTAACCACCTCCACACGGATCTGGGGGCTATTCATGTTCATGCTTATTCTGGCTTCATGCTTGCCTCTCAGGAGACTGGCAAGGGCGTGGTGGCCATCATTGCTGACAGAGAATCTGCATATCTTCTATCTTCCGGAACTCCTTGCCTATCTGAAAGAGAATCAGAGTGTCAAAAGCTGTGCTTCTCGACCCATCGTCGCCCTGCGCGGCATCCACGCGGATGCGCGTCGTCGCCCCCAGGCCGCGACCTGATCCGCTCGGGTGGACGAGGCTCCGCCTGTTGTGGCTCGGTGGATGGGATGGGTAAGGCCAAGAGTCGAGATGGGTGGGGTCAACTGGGTGGGTCAACTGGTGAAAGAAGTCACCGAAGTCACCCATCTGGCCTACACCAAGAGCTTGTTGGGACTCGTCCAGGCGGGTCCAAATTGGGAATCATCCAAGACATATAGTGCCTCATGTCTTCGGAACCACGCGTGGTGTGGAATGACCGAGGTTCGTTTTCTGGCGTGGCCGGCTGTCAACATCACCCAGATGTTGAGGCTGGACAGGATTTGCAGGCGAGATGGAGCTGGACTGAGGAGCTGAGTGACCTTTGCAGGGGATGCGCATGAGCTTGTTTTTCACCCAAGCTCTCAGCTAGCGTCAAGCACGGTACAGAGAGGTACAAACGGCCAAGTTGGTATACCGGTGTGTATATATATATATGACGTATGGTATGACGGCACTGATATCGGTGCTATATCAATTGTATATACATAGTGTTACAGGGTTTCCAATTCCACACATAGACACATAGTGACACATAGCAGCTGCCCTTCTCTTTGGCGGCAGGTGGCCTACATGCAAAATGCGCACATCGCCAGTTGCCGGGGCACGGAATTCGAGTATGATCCCAATTGCGGAACGTACTTGGAGGCGCATATTGCGGAGCGTCCTCTGCGGTTTCGGGGGTATTTTGAGGTCCAGAAGAGCACAGCCGACTTGCGACTTGCAAGGATTTCCCGGCCAAACCGGGAACTTGATATGGCATGGAATGACTCTATGCCACAATGGATGGTTCTGGTCTTAGGTATATGACTCGGGAGCAGTACGGGGCATTGGCAGTTCGTAGTCGTTCTAAATGTTTCTCGACACAGCTGCTGATGCTGTGCCTGCTATCGCCCTTTTCAGAGCTTAATTACCCTTTTGGCACCACCAACAGGAGGTAGCAACTGTAGCAGTTTCACTGGACATAGCCTTTCTCTGATCGCACCCTTGGCTTCCTCCTGGCGATCTGCACATACCTAACTGGAGTGCTTCTCAACCAAGCCAGCAAACTCAGGCTGAACCAGGTGCCTATGGTTGAAGGTTCTTGCCAGCCTTCAGGGCTTTCTTCAGTCACTGCATGTCCCTGCTATCACTCCAGAACTCCGTTCCCGTAGGCCTCACAAATGATCGTTGCAAGGCACTCACAGCACCGTTCGAGAAATAGGAGAGGTCGAACTTGAAATAGGAGAGGTCGAACTTGAGGCTGTTGCCATTGAAGAGACATAGTTCGATCTACACATGAATCCGGCGAAGTGTTGAAGGTCAAGTGGGACTGCACTCAAGCAGTACAGCCAGAAAGTCTGGGAGATCGTGAGCTCAATTTGCAGCTTAAGTACCTCTCCTGACCCCCTTGGTTGACCCATTTTGAGGTATTCGCAAACACCCTCACCTCCCTCACCTTTCCTGGAGATGTAAGAATGTGTCTTAGAGAATTCTTTTTGTAGTAGAGTCTGGCCTTGAGCTTCGCCCGGTCTTGTTTTGGAGTCAGAAAAGTCGGATCCGCAATGTAAAGCCCTTTTCTCCGATCGGGAGTTCGATGCCGGAACCCCCCGCGCAACACATCCGGAGCTGGGCGAGGTGCATCGACCCGGGCAAAAGGCCGTGCTCTCCGACGTGCGGATCGACTCGACCACGACCGTGACCTGGACCGACCTGGGCGCCGGGGTGGAGCAGCCCTACATCACCTCCGCCGGTCACTCGGAAGGAGAGAGAGCTGACGTCGGGCGCCCGGAGGTGAGAGCTGACGTGGAGAGCTGCCCGTGGGGGTGGAGTGCATCTCTTTAAGCTTTGGACGATTTGGGACGGTGTTTGGATGGTTGCATGCGGTGAACCATACGACTTGGCTAAGACACCTTGGGACACGAAGTCTAGGACTCATGTGAAGTATCACGTGTTCTGCTCTGGGACACCTTCGGACGGCTCCTCGCTCTCTTTCGCGCCACGCGTCGCCGCCGCGTCGCGGCGCGTCCGGAGGTTACCAGACGAGGTTCCTGGCCACACACCGCTTGTGTCGAGGTGAATACGAGGCCCGAAGGGCGATGACGGCCGAAGGGCGAGGGTTTTTACGGCCACGGTCGATGGAGATGGATACGTACGGTACGTAGAGACTCTGAATTGAAAACATCAGACGTGCGCCATTTGGATTGTAAGACCTCTTAAGGGAACGCTTAGATGCTGCAATGCTGGGATTCCTTTGTGTTTACTAGTAATATAGGGACTCTCGTAAGACCGGGCGAACACCAGACGTTACACCGAGGACATAAGATTTCTGATCCGTTTATACTATGATGTACTATGTACCGTGGGTGTTGTCCAAAAGCGCCAGAGAAATGCACAAGTGTTTACATATGTTTACATCAGCATTATGCTCCAAACCATTCAAATTGAGACTCTTCCACTAAAGTCACTAAAGCTGTTCTTTTTCCACTTTGATTTCGAAGCATTTAGACCGGCCGGCCTGGGCTAAGTAGTCCACACAGCTCGCGTGCCGCGTGCGGCAAGCTGCAGGTTTGGTGGGTCGTGCGGACGCGCTCCGGACCTTACGCACCCCGGTCTGGTCAGCGGATTTGACGGTACCGATCATTGGATGGAGGATGGAGGATGGGTGATGGCAGTTTGGCTGTGTTTTTCATGCCTTTTTGGGTGAGTGGATGTTTGTTTGACCTAGGAAAAACAAGTTGACAAGACGGTCGAGGGTTTTGGACGGCAAAGATGGTTTGGGAAGTTTTCCATTGAGAGTTGAGCAGAACAACCGTTTGGCCGTATACATCGAAAAGAGATTCCTCTCATAGGCTGTGACGACCTGTGGCTCTTGAAGAAGTCCATTTTTCAGGTGATCACACATCTGGGACATCGAAAACCGCATGGAGCAAACCAGCGAATGAGTTTTCCACCCTCCAATTCTTAGTTGGAGGATATATACAGTGGAGTATGTGTTTCTTGACAGACAATTCAGTGGCCCAAACATCACCAAACACAACTAAGAACAAAAAGAACATGACCCTCAAATCACATCACTCCCATCAATCCACCGGGTTGGTGCTTTTAAACACCTTCGCACTCCGAGCAAAAACCGAGCTGCACCGGTCCCAGGTGCAGCGCACGCGCGCCTTCTACGTCTCGTCGCCGACCTGCGAAACACCTCCGGGCGGCATTGACCCTCCCACACCGATGCTCGGCGCCAACCGGCTCGGCGCGCGCGCATACGGGAGGTGGGGCAGAAACCCACGGCCGCTGGGCTCGGGTGGGAAGGACTTGGATTAGATTGTCTATAGATAGAAACCACTTAGATTGGATTGTCCTAGATAGAAACCACTTGGATTGGATTGTCGCAGATAGAAACCACTTTGAGATCGCGCCTTTGGTGGTCCCATCTTCGCAAAAAACGGGCCGAGAGGTAAGTTCCATTCTGCGAGTTTTGCCATTCTGATTGGTTTGTCGGCCCAGTTGTTGGGTTGAGTTGTGTCAGTTGTTGGCGGGCGGGCGCACGAATGGCACGTGCGCGAGATTCCCTCTCCGAAAATCTCAAATGTCGGCACTCCAAGGATTTCAAGGTAACTATCATGATAGTTCTGCCCAGCATAAGGATCCCTTGTTATAAGGTAACGATGATTGCTACAAGGAATCCCTTGTTGGGCTCTACAATGTTATGCAATGTTCATCAATGTTCCTTTGTTATAAAATATACAGTACGTGTAAGTCTATGTCCAACAAGGGATCCCTTAATATCGCATTCGTTTATCACTTTGTCGTTATGTTGTTTCCGGTGGTAGACTTTCTTTCCGGCCCCACATGGTGTGCGCATGCCCAACATGGATTTACACCACGACCGGAACGTGGGGACCGTTCAGAAGGCGGCGGGGCCGTCCAGCTTCGAACCGGGTCCCAACGGCCGGGCCGTGGGCGACCGGCTTGGGACCGAAGGAGGAGCCCGTGAGGAGTCGACCCGTACGAGCGTGTGTCTGGCCGAAGGCCGTGGGTGAAAGTCACTAAGGCCTTAGCCTTTCGCCGTATTCGGGGTAGAAGGAGAAAGAGAGAGAGAGAGAGAACTGTTTCGATCCAAGTATCATGGACATGAAGGTGCTCAAACATGCATTGGCTTTCGTGCCCTCCAAGTATCGGGGCCACGTTTGCACGGTTGTTCAAGCAGGGCTCAACAACTCTGGCATGTTCTTTCACTCACCTAGAGATTGATTGTCAACAGATTAGGATGCACTCCTTCTATCTAAAAACAGAACAGTCTTAGACATAGGAACTACACAAGACCCATCAAAACCATTCAATACCCCTGTGTGTCCAAGGCTTGGCAGAAAAGAACTGACCATAACCCCGACATTGCATCTCCAAGCGACATCTCCATGCCCAGACTCACCGTGGTTCCGTTCGGTTGACATGCCCAGGCTGCTCTCGCTGTCCGACATGCCTTGACACGTACGCGGAAAGAGCAGACCGTGTGGCGAAAAAGACATGGAGCGAGGTGGAGCGGAAAGGACCAACGTTTGTGGAGGCTGTGGAACAGCACCCTTTGGATAAGGAATACGAATCGGTCAAACATGGTCAAACCAAAGACTGCAAAGGAAAGAGGATGACAGAGGCGATCAGGGTTCAGTTCTACAACGTTGTGTTTCGTCCTGATTGTACACCAAATATAGGCTTTTCATTTTTTGTTGATCAGTGGCAGGTCGCAGGCGATGTCCAGGCGATGTCCGTTCCAAACGCTGTTCGTCCGTCGTCCACGCCTCCTGTCTCCCGTCTCCACAGGGTCCTGGGAAGGGCGCTGCAGAGGGTTTCCGCCTGGAGCGCTTTCAGGGAAGCCCCGCCGGGGCACTTGGAGCCACCGAGAAAAAGCTCGGGAAGACCGAATAAAACCGATACACCAGGGCGGAAGGGGCACCACAAGACAGGCTCTTCCAGATGCACAGAGAATCGAAGATCTTCACTGAATTTGCATAGATGTTGCATGATGTTGCAGATGTTTGCCGCAAAACAAAGCACTTCTATCACTGATATCCTGTAGGAGTCTTGGTCTATCTTTCTTGGTCTATGGCCTTCGAGGCCATTCCCACGTTCCTTTGAGGCCTCCTTGGACTCCGCCGACCCCTTGTTGGATATCGGCACCGATGCCATGAAGGGCGAGGCCGCTCTTGGGTTTCCGAAACGAAGGAAGATGGACGGAGACGGAAGGGAAGGATGTGCAGGTTCCAGGCAGGTTTCATAGGACTGGAGGTGACTGGTCCGGCGCCTTGGGCCCGCGAGGCTAGAGGCTCGGTGACCTAGCAAACTGCTGAGGTGGGAGGCCGGAATCATAGGATGTTCCGGTGAAAATGACCATGGGGGGATGATTTGGGGGTTCCCTAGTTCAAGAACCCACCATGTGATCATGACCCTAAGAAGTGGCCATCGAGTGGAAGAAAAGCATGCTGTCCAGTGTCCATGTGCGGTTGTTTCATTTCTGCCAGAGTCAAAATTTGGATGTCCTGTTTGTGTGTGAAGGGAGCCAGAAACACGGCTGAGAGAGGGTTTGTGTCACTTTGTGTTTCTTTTGCCACGGCTAAAGTTGTTTTAAGATACAGTTTCCACTATACGGCATGGTAAGGCCTAGGAGCATAATTTATATATACTGTAAATTATCCTTACTCTTGATATTAAACTAAATAGATGGAATGTTCATTCTTGTTGCCAGGAGTAGGCTGTAGATGAGGTCACTTCCCTGATGCCCTTTGTCAATATAAACTTTATGGCATGTTACGAGCATAAGAAATATGTTGGTGGAGTGTTTGTTGCAATATGTTGCGAATCATATATCCTTGTTATTCCTCCTTTGCTTACATTAATTTTCTGTTGCACTGGACTATGTCTTGGAGCTCCCGACGTTCACGTGATGTTCACCAATTCCATGAGCGTTCTGATCTTCAGTGCTCCCAGATGGTGCGACAGAAAGTACGGAAGGCCATGCTTCAGCGGATGTGCCTGGGCGATCCAAATTGCGGTGGGAATCGGACAGATGTCCAGATGGGACGGTCCCGGAGGGTTTCGGAGGGTCCCGGAGGGTCCCGGATTGACATGCGAACGGGCCAGACATGGCGAAGGTCCGTTCTCCATGGGAAACCACGGCTCCGACGGCCTGAATCGCATTCGTTTGCGAGCCAAGACGGGCGCAAAGACGGGCGACGGCACGAAGCACGCAGGGTTTTCGACTGTGATGGACTTGCAACCTTGCGTTTCAACGTTTCTTCATGCCCTAGGGCTCCCGTCGTACCTGCTCAGAAGGTAGTTGGACCCTCTAAATCCACCCCAAACAGCTCCTTAGAAGGTACTTGGATAGGGATGAGAAGAGGATTAACATGTCTGTTTTTCATTTTTGTTTGGGGCGATGAGGATGGCATCGTCAGCTGATCGTTGGTCTCATATGTCCTCCCCTCGCCTCGTCTCGTCGTTTCGTTTTTGAGGCCTGCGCCGGATGTGATCATGTACTTTGTGGACATGCAGACCATTGGCACCGCCCCAGGTGGGACGGACTGGTGTCCCGACGGACGTCTGGTGGTTCGGTGTCCCGACACGTAAGCGGTTTGCGAGAGAAACGGCCGGACGAACGAAGATGCGAGAAAAGGAGGTAAAGTCCTCGACGTCGTTTTTGAGAGGACATGAAATGTCCCACATGGATCTACCATCGACATGAAATCTGCCGTATTTGATGAAAAAGCTTCTGAAAGCCGCTGCTTTGGTGGTGAATCATTCACCCAATCTGACCGAGGAGCCCCTCCCGCAAGCGGCGAGGTAAGGAAGTCTCTCTCTGAACAGCCTCTATGGTGAAATCCTCCTACCAGCGGCCCATAAGGATTCACTCATTGGTGGAGGAGATGGGATTACCCTCGTTTGCAGACGCAGAATGGGGAAAGGTACCTGCCACAAGCTGCCACAAGCCTTTAGATTGCCATGTTTGCCGGCCATTTCATCAACATTTCATGAAACACCTCGTCCACTTTATCTTGTTTTTCGGCCGCAGGTGATTCTGCAGTCATGGCACAGCTGCTGTTGGCCCAGGCGGGTCAAAAAGGGTGGCACCCCACATGCAAAACTTCTTGTGTGCTTCAAGGTTCCAGGTATTCAATGGTGGCGGTGTTACAGTTGAAACAGTTGCAGTTGGGGCTTTGGAACAAAGACATGAATTGACTATTCATGCACATCAATGCTGTTTGGGTTCCTTGCTTTTTGTGGTGTACTGAAATGACGTCTTTGTTTGGTTCAAATCTCTGCTCACTGACCCTGCTAAAATCGTCTGACCCTGCTCAGATGCTCGGTGTGGGTCAAGAGGTCGGATCACAACGAGTGGATTGACAAGCCGACAAGCAAAAAGACACCGTCAATTCGGAGTTTCCGACCAGCTCCCCCGACCGAGCGGGTGCCCAACAATTGGGAGCTGGTCCGCTCAGACCGCTTTTCGCGCTCACAGACCGAATAAGTCCGCTACACTTGGACTCACTCGGAAGTGGATGGCATGCCCCCCTGCCACGGTGCTCGCATGTAGTCTCGCATGTGAAAAGCTGAAGAGGCCCGGAGTGAAATGTATTCTTATCAAACCCGGTTTGGTGGGTTTGATCAGTTTCTGTGCTTTAAGTTTCTGCTATTTTTTTCCAAAGACTCCCGGGTCGCTCAGATGTTCGAATGCACATCGCTCAGATGGCTTCCAAGCTGGCTGGCTTGGCGGTCGCCTGCCGCCGAGCCCCAGCACCCCAGCGGGGAAACCTGTGGCCCGCAGTGGGAAGGGACGGGAGGGCCCGGTGATTGTTCGACTCCGATCACAGAATGATGTACAAGTCCGTATTTGGATGTATTTGGTACTGGTTGGGGTTTCAAGTAAGTAAGAATTTGACGAAGTCAGTCGAAGAATGTGTGTGATGTGAACATGACATCTACAGTGTCTACACCCGACGCCGTTGGCCAACGGACCGACGCCGCTGGGTCGGTCGAACGCTGCGAGCGAAAAGGCGCCACCATTCGGGTACTTCAAATAGCTTGTTCAACTGAATTCAAACAGCTCACCTTAGCCTCAATATATGTTTACGTTGAAGGATACCATATAAGTTTGTATTGCCAGTCTTGTTTTTCTCCAATATGACCCTCCCTGAAACCATCATGGATGTGGAAAAGCACCGGTTTGGAGAGCCAAGCAGGTCTTCCAAGAGGCCATGTTCCACGGAGGCCATGTTTGTTGGAGGGAGCTGTAAGAGAGATGTTGGCCCGTCACGGTGTCACCTTGGAGGGGAGCTTCGCTTCGCGCCCGCCCTCTTTTCGCCCGACGGAGGCTTTGGCTCGGCACCTCCCTGGCGGTGACCCTGGACACCGGCGCCGCCGTGGTGAGGGGAGCTCGGACGGGAGCGCAGCGGGCGGTGGGAGGACAAAGTCCTTAAGGACGTAGCAGTAGCAGGGATCTTTTGTGTCAAGGGCTTTCGGATTAGCTTGAGGGGTTGAGCTTTGTTCAGGGTTTTGTTTGTTTTGTTCAAGGATGTTCAAGGGCTTATTAATAAACGTTTAGGGATCTTTAGGGTTTTGAAGGTGGCGCAAGACAGACCCAGGTTTCCACGCAGTCGATGGAGATTTGGACCAATCCTTAGTGCTTCATGGGCAACACTTAGAAGGGCTTATTTTGACCAGACTCCTATCCGATAGACTACAGTGACTACAGGATCCACCCAGAGCCAAACAAAATTTGCCTGAGGAGGCTCTTTGTCCAAGTGTTTTTCTTGGCGCAAGAAGTGGCCCGCGGGTTCCTCCATAGTACATTGCTGACGTGCGTTGACCTGTTTTGTTGTTTTTTTTTATCTTTTGGCCTCTACTGCTTGCGAGACTGCTAGGCTGCCTACGCATATGTGCTCAGTCTCGCATACTATTGCGTCACCGAGAAAGAATGCAGAACGCAATAATATGCGAGACCTATCATATTACTATACGACAATGCATATTATCCAGCCTATATATGAAAGAATACAAATTATTGCGTCACCTAGAAGAATCGTCCCAACTTGGAACGTTTGGATCTTGGATGCGTGACATGAGGGGCACTCGACGTGTCAGCCGCACGGATTAAAAATACTTCAAGCCGCATGGATGGGATACTTCCTGCAAGTTGAACGTAATCTTACGCTAAAGATCTTATGCATTGCATCCTCTCCGAGTGCCCCATTCACTTCCGTCTTTTTCGCTGCGCCGCGGCCCCACTTTTCTCGGCTTCGCGGAGACGCAGACCTTCCCACCGCCGGCGAGTTCCAGCGATGCGCGCCAGCGCGAGGCTCCTCCGGAAGTGAAGGTGAAGCTCTTCGGCTGGGGACAGGCGCGAAGGACCGGCGAGTGGAGGCGGAAATGGGCGGTGAGGCGACCAGCGGGGTTCCCGCTGAAACGAAGCACATGGCTGCAGACGTAAGGGATGAGAACGCGATAGTTATATATATAAGCTATCATAGT